GGCCATATAATGCACAGAAAGTAAATCAATAACAACAACAAAAAATCCAAGGATATTTTTTAAATGAAAATGAGGAATACAGGGCTTCCACGAGCCGGAAGCAAATTTCAAAACTGGTAACAAAAATTAATGCAAACATTAATACTTTAATAGATTTGTGACCACTACTCTATGCTATCTTTTATAAAGCGAATCTCAAAACTAAAGGGATATTTTTGAACAAGAAAATACTTACATAGCTGTTGCATAACATAACATAGCTGATTGCTAACATATTAATAAAAATTTATTAGCACTATAAAAAATTTCAAAGCCCTTCGGATTCCTGGGAATTTAATGTGAATTCTTATTTTTAATTTAATGCGAAGTGCTTGGACACTAAAAATACAATTTTCAGTTTAAGTGGCATGTTATAATCCAATTTCCCAACGTTCCTGGCTGAGTTTAAATCAGAGCTTCTTGTTGCCTGTTACATTATTTTAATACTTACGGAGGTGAAAACTACGTCATTATTCTTCTAATACTTTTTCTAATTGCTTTGAAACTGTAGGCAACGATTTTAATCTTCTTCCATTTCAGCGCAACTTAAAATTAAGAATTCTGGAAAAATTTAAGAAAACTTCAAGAAGGAATTTAAAAGCACTTGTTCAAAAAAAGGAATTCGCTGCATTAATTAAAGAATCTGTGAGATTTTTTTATAGTAATTCAGAAGATTTCGGGAAGTTTAACAATGTCGTGTATCTTAAATAAATAATACCAAGAAACTGAAGTGGTCAAATATTACTTAATTGAAAAAAATTTTATTCCCTTCAAAAATATACAGATTGAATGTAACAGTCGACATGTTTTAAGCCCTCGAAAATAGGCGCCCTTCTCAAGACTTGCCAGGCGGGAATAATAAGAAACAAAAGTGATTTGAAATATAAAACTCAAAGTTGCCAACGGAAAATGGAAAATAAAGGATATAGTTTCAATGAAGCACCTTTATTTTCTATTTTTCGTTGGCAACTTTGAGTTTTATATTTCAAATCACTTTTGCTTCTTATTATTCATGTCTGGTAAATCTTGAAAAGAGTGTCGTTTTTAACGCTTGAAACATGTCGGTTGTTTCAAGCTTTCCAATATGCATAATTTTGAAGCGTTGAGTAATGTTCTGTATGGTTACGGTATTTTGAAAAGCTACCACGTTTCAGATAGACATTTTTGAAAGCGCATGAGGATTTAGTTTCGGTCGCTACACATGTGCAATGAAAAATGATATAAGGAAAACGGCAGCATTGTACGCACTTTTTTTGAAAGGAAATGTTTGATTACTCCGTGAAGAAAAATTTAAATTTACATACCAAATAAGTACGAAATTAGCGAAGATTTGAATATTTACGTTATAAATGCGTTTTTGTAGTTTGGAAGACGATTGATATTGTTATAGAAATGTTTTGTGATCTCTCAGTTAAGAATTTAAAGATGACGCGTATTTCATATATGATGCTCAGATATTCTAGCAAATCTTTTCACGAAAGCTCTTCACAGGTTTCCGAAATCGAAATTATTTTACGACGCAGTGAATAAACAAAGTTTTTTGTTAGAGAATATTCTCTTGTTAGTCTCAGAGACAATGCTTATAAAACATACATCAAATATAAGAGGATTTTTTTTTCACTAAGCTTCCAAAACTAAACGTAAACCCTGAACTTTCGCTGCACTTTAAGCAGATTAGACGTCATAAAGGTCATTTACCATAACTTCGAATCCAAAATTCAGCTCAAGAATAAGACGATGGGGTTCGTCTAGTTTAACAATGTCCTGTATCGACACAGAATGATAAAAATCCACCGCTTTTCTGACGTATGTTGTTAAAAGCTCGTGAAGTTTTAGATTTGGTCGCTACAAACGTGCAGGAAAAAATTTCAAAAAAGAAAAAAAACTGCATTGAATGGTACCATGTATATGGACTTTTTTTAAAAAAATGTTTACGTGTGCTGTTGAGAAAAACTTTCCAGTTACAAACTGAATGTACATAAAATGAACGAAAATTTGAATATTTAAGTCTCAAATGCGTTTCTGTGATTTAAAAAACGATCAATATTGCTAATGAAATGTTTTACGATCTTTCAGTAAAGAATTTAAAGGTCACACATATTTCCTACATGATATTCACATATTCTCGAAAACCTAATTGCTTTAGTAATTAGTTCAAGCAGAAACCTTCTCAAAGGTTGCCGAAGTCGAAATTATTTTACGACGCAGCAAATAAACAAAATTCTTTCTTAGAGAATATTCTCTCTGTGGTCTCCGAGATAATGCTTAAAAAGCATACATCAAACATAAGTGGATATTATTTTTGTTACTAATCTTTCAAAACTAAACATGAACCCCAGACTTTCGCTCCACTTCAAGCAGATTAGACGTCATAAAGTCCATTTACCATAACTTCTAATCCGAAATCTGACTAGCAAAAACAAGATTATGGGGTTCTGCTCGGAATGATAAAACGTGTTCGCATGGAGTTTTTTTTTCAGATAAAAACTAAAAGGTAACGTATTCTGATCCTCGTGGCATACAGACTTTGAAGATTCGCAGATTTTGAGAATGTTCTATTTGACATGGTCATCGAGCATGAAGCGCGTGCGAGCTCGCGTTCTCACAATAAAAGGGCTACACTGTAACGCTGCTTGATTTTATGTGCAACGTTCTATTTAAGAAAAAGATTTGTTGCAAGAGTTTATATAACCTTTCTCTATATCTCGTTATTTCTGCAAACATCAAAGCACTGAGATTAGATTTATGTGCGATTGTGAGTCTAGTCTTCATCAGACAGTCTCATTAATAAGACAGAACAGAAATATGAAATAATGTTTAGTGAAAGAAAGGTTGGCATGTAAATTTTTTCTGCTGCAGTGAAATATATTACAAAACGTTTAAGATCAGAAGTTTATATTTCTTTGTGAAAAAGTATTAATTAAAATATGAGATGTAATTATATTTAAGAATCAAATATTTAAAGGAATATCTTGCAAATAATATAACTTGGCATGCATAGGATTTAGTTATGATTATTTTTAGATATTAATAAATCGAAATTCAAGTCATTTAAATTTTTATATTTTCAAATTTATAAGAAAAAAAAATTATTACGCTAAATTCAATTCATTTTAAATTTATTTTATTTAGAAACCTAAAGATAAACTAACTCAATAGCATTTTTTAACTTTAAATATTATTTATGTACCTAAATACTTTAATAAAATAGAGAAACTTTACAATTTTCTTTTTGCTTTCCAGGAGAAAACTTTTGAGGTTTTTTTTTTCAAACTGTTTTTAAATCACTTTTTTGCCAGATAAAAAACCGCAAATCTGAGAAAGATTAATTCTGTAGATTGCAGTCCAAATATCAAATGTTATTTTATATTGGTTCCATCCAAGGGACGGCCTTATAAAAATTTTGTCCTGATTAATTCTTCATTAATTCTTTGATTTTCCACATCCTTATTTAAGTTAACCCTTCAACTCAGAATTTTTGTTCAGCGCATTTTCAAACTTTTTCTTTCCTTTTTTTTATTAATTTATACCAAAATAAATGAGTGGAAAATATTATGTTCAATATTTTAATAATTTATGGTTATGTAATGCAGCATAAAACACCTGTGTATTTATATGCGTTAAAGATAAAATCTTCCAAACATGGTTCACTTCCATAATTTTTCTAATTTGTTTTTACTTGTTGTTATTGAGATCAAAGAGAAACAATAATTCATTATTGACATCTCTTCAATTTTCAAAATCAATTATTGATAGTTTATAATATGAAAGGCAGAAAAAATTGGAATTTATATTTTAATACAAATATAATTCCGATAATCTAACAGTTTTTTTAGTAGCTATTAGACTGTTTCTTTATGGTAAAAAAGTACCGAAATATCTTTGTGCTTGTAATTAGAGTACCGAAAGAAAATATATAAAAGGGACACTGATGTCGCATTTGCGTTAATGGGCTAAACGATGGAAGTATTACATAACAGTAACACAATCAAACGAGGATTTTGAGATATTTCATTTCATTTTGCTTTGAAGATTTTCATTGAAGGTTCATTTAAAAGAATATCTCTTAGCAAAGAGGGCTTGTTTTAAAGGTATGTTAAAAGGTTTAAAACTAATTTAGAATTTTCTCATAAATCTACTTTTGAGTGACGGAAAGCGTCACACTATGCATAAACATGCTGAATGAAAAATAACATGAAAAATCAGTGGAGAATGCAAATTATTAATTTCATGAAATCGAATTAAATGATTTAACCTCGAAGATATGTATTTTAAATTTTGAAATTTGTTTTATGAATATGACATTTTTTACACCCTGTATATAATTCAAAAAAGGAGTCTGTGCCTTACTAAACTAATGTTGAGTTGTATCATGTTTATTCATGTCTGAATCAATAAAAATTTATTTTTTCTCTAAAGCAATATTTGTTTTAGGTAAATTATCGTCTTGGATTCAAAGAAAGAGTCTGTTCCTTACAAAAATAATCTTAAATTGTGTAAAGTTTCTTCTTTTCTGTATCGTTAAAAGAAGTATTTTTTTCTAAAATAATATTTGTTTTGGTAAATTTCGTCTGATATTCAAAAAGCTATAAAGTTTATAAAGTCTCCTTCTTACAAAAATAATGTTGAATTGCATACGTTTTTTCTTGTTTCTATCATTAAAAATTAATTTTTTCTCAAAGACGATATTTGTTTTAAGTAAATTATAGTCTGAAATATTCGAAAGAAGGAGTCTGTTACTTACAAAAATAATGTTGAGTTGTATAACCTTTTCTGTATCGTTAAAAAAAAATTTTTTTTCTGAATCAATATTTCTTTTAGGTAAATTATAGTCCGACATTTAAAAAGCTATAAGTCTATGGAGTCTGCTCATTACAAAAGTGATGTTCAGTTGTATAAAATTTATTCTTGTTTGAATCGTTAAAAATTTTATTTTTACTATAAAGCAATATTTGTTTCAGGTAAAGTATCGTTTGAAAAATTAACAAATCAAGATTACAGTGGAACTGTTTATTACACTGTGTGGAACGTCTCACTGTATGAGTGCCTGGGATGGTGCAGAGAAGAAACAGAATGCGCGGCAGCTGCTTTCAGTTTCGTGGTCAATCCTTTAACACCCACTCAGGAGACAACGTGTCAACTGCAAAATGAAACTCAAGCCACTAGACCCAATGCAGTATCACAGAGAAGTGTCAACACTTATTTCATGGTGAAACTGAATCTACGTTCGGGTAATGAACTTCATTTTTAAAAAAAATGATTTAAGTGCAAAAATTAATGTTCTCGATATTATTTTTTTAAACCAAGTGTATTAAGCACATTTCATAGATAAATCTAATTTTTAATTTGTTAAACGTGAAGTCTTTGCATACAAGTATAATACTCAGTCTAATAATGGTGTTCGATAAGGAAAAAATTGAGCACATATTTAACAACATCTACGGCTAAAGCCTTGAAGATAATAGTACATTTTTACAGCACATAGATGAATATTTAATGCGTCTGATTGTTATGAAATAAAACTCTACTCAACAAGAGCTGTTAGTAACTAAACTCTTTAAATAGATAATCCCAAGAAACTGAAGCGATAAAATATGACTTAATTAAAAATATTTATTATCTTTAAAAATAAGCAGACGAAAATAAAATGTTTTAAGTACTCAAAAATAGTTTTTTAAATAAACGCCTACATTTGAGTTCTGTCCACTTTTATCACAAATTGCGTACATTTGAAGCCAATGAAGTTATTTAATCGAGTAATAACTAAACTCCATGCTTCAGCATTCCAATTGGGTATACTCGTATTTGTTTCAACTTCATCTTTTCAAAATAAAAATAAGAAACATTGATAAAAATTCAATTTTTTAAGGATAAAAATATTAAATATAGTTGGTTAAAGAATGGAACATATTAATCCCAGAATCTAGATAAAGTATTTCTCAACAAGTTGAGCAAATTTTAAATAAAAACGATAATTAGATAAGGCCACGAAAAAATAAAAATATCACATTTCGATTCGATAATCCATAAAAATTTGTTCTCCGCACTCTATTAAAGATTAGAAGTCCTTTAAAAAGCAATAAAATCAAAATCATTTTTTAATTATATTGTTTGGAAACGGATTATTTTATGAGTAGTATTGTAATTCACAAATTGTGAATTCGTTGGCGATTCAGTAAGAGTGCTTCTCCCCATTGCACCATGTTTTCAAAGAACAAAATGGGGAGAAAATGCAGGAAAAGAAACGCTGCGATGGTTTCTCCTCAAACATCGGGGTATAATAATCGCCAGATGATCAGCTTAACTGCTCTGACTTAAGTTGACTAAGCTTCTATTGACTTTTTTCTGACTAAAGTTGCTTAACTTTTGGTTTCATAATTTCTAAAGAATTTTCGTAGCTTCTATTCAGTAATAGTGTTTCAGTTATACATTAAAGTCTTCTTCTATTTTATCTTTTAAATTAACAGCCATTATTGGTTAGCCAATCCACTTTAAAGTTATCTTTAAGGTGGATTGGCTAATCATTTAAGAATATTTTGCCCATCGGCATATTCTCTCTAAGATTTTCAGTCAATACTTTAATTTCTCATAGTGCTTCTCATTCTGAACAATCCATTGATGGTAATGAATGTTGAATAAGTGCATAGCTTAACATTTTTTAAAAGCGATTAAAAAAATTGAGATAAACGCTAACGATGATTTCTTTAAATTAATGAGATAATAAATGAATCTGATATAGTTATTTTTTTCATATCAAACAGACATTAAATAAAACATCTACAGAAGCATTTTTTTCACATTTAACTATAAAACTATTTGATACAATGGACACCATTAGACTGTATGACGTCTAACACCTTCTAGAATACGAGTTAGCAAGCATTACATGCAATTCAAATATTACATTTTAAAAATGATGATGTGGGACTCTCCATTTCCAAGACTGAATCTGTAAGACTTTATGTTTTTGAATGTATAAGACTGAATGTGTCAAAACTTTATGTTTTTAAAATAACATGAATCTGCTATTATGTAAGCCGATATTCGTCTGTAAAAATCTTAGGATCCATTTTTAAAGTCCATCTTCAGAATGATCTTGAATTCTTATTGTTTACACATTCTTGAATTTTTCAATTTTTGGAACGAAAAAGTATTCAAAAGATTTGTCAAAAAAATGGCGAATGCTTCATCTCCACAACTACACTTTTAAAGAAACAAGATTTTTATAATAATATAAAACCACAATGTAATAATTAACGATCTTTTTTCCAAATGAGATAATTAAAAGTCACATCTAAAACTTTTGCAACAATTAAATGCATGTAGAATTCAAATATTTCAGGAGTTATTAAATCAATCCTGAAAATAATAACAGCACATTGTACTATTGTGAGGTATGAGCATTCAATTTAATTTTTAAAAGGGCTTTAAATTGAAATTCGAATTGAAAGGATGCTCTAATGGCGATAGGTGATACTGAATGCTCAATTGTCAGTCTATTCCTAATATAACTTTTCCTGGAATACATTGTTGAAAAAAATATAGCAGCACTAAATTAAGTCTAGCACACAATTTTCGGCCGTGAGATAATAAAAATCAAATTCGTTAATAAGTTTCGTTAATAAGTTTGTTAAGTTTAGAATGTTGATATAGTATTTTTAGAAACTTCGGCATCATTTTTTTAGAATAACTTTGAGGTATATTTTAGAATCATTTTGAAAAGACATTTGTGAAAATATATCAAAGTTTGTTTTTAAAATATTAATTGTAACTTTTAGTTTATAAACTTTACTGCCGGGTGTGAAACTTCACATGTTATGAAATATTTTTCATACGTTTTGATAAATATCACTAAATTTAAAACTTGTATTCTGAAACTAAATAACAAAATCATTTTCTCACATACCTTTATATACCTAATACTAAAAATAATTACAATGCTAGTGTTCATAACCCAAATTTACCCTTACTAAAATTCTAAATATTTTTTTCTGAAACTCGTTCCTTCTAACAAATCACAATTATGACACCTTAACAACCTGTTTCATCCTGATGCTCAACAGAACATAAAAGTCTGCTTAGACATTTTGAGAGCTCTTAAGAAGCAGTGATTTTAACCCATCCTGCACTAACTCCCCTGCCTACCTCTCATGAAACATGCCTCAACATGCTGCTTCTGAAAGGGCACTCAGAGTGGATAAGCCTCATTCGATAACTAGTGTTGTTTCATGTTCTAGTTCTTCTCTCAACAGAGAGTGTATGTAACAGACTATGGTCTTTCGAACGTGTCCCCAACCAGAGTCTCCGGGGTCTGGAGAATGCAATCATATTCACATCCAATAAGGAAGCTTGCCTCTCCGCTTGCCTGGCTGAAGTTCGATTTGTGTGTCGCTCTGTGGAATTCAACTACCTCACCAAGGAATGTAGATTGAGTGAGTTTGATCGAAGATCTCCAGGAGTCTACGTCCATATGGTGGATTCACAAGGGGTGGACTACTTCGAGAATGCTTGTCTCCAACGTAAGTTTATCCTCTTGTTATTGCTATCAGGGGATTATTGCTATCAGGGATGTGTCTAGCGTTTTAGCAGCCCTGGGCTAAGTATATTAAAGTAGCCGCCTTAGGACACCATCCAAAATTATCTTGTACAACTTATAAAATTTAATAGTAACCAAGCCGAATGCGCAGCACAACTGTGTTTAAATATTCTAATTATTTAATCCCTTCAATTTTGACAGCTTCATTAGTTCTGAACAATATATTAATTAAATTTCCCCCCGTTTAGCTGTTGACTGAGGAATTGCCCGTGTGAAAGAACACTATTTCAATTTTAACAATTTTCAAAAGATGTCCGTGATATAGTCAAATGTTTTTATTATTGAATTTCAGTTATAATTTAAAATATGCTCGGCAGCCATTAAATTTTACAAATGAACGTAAATATGAGTTAGGGGCATTTTAGCATAGACGGCAGCAGAATATTTCTTTTTTATTATATTACTTTTCTGAAAGTATATCCGTAAACATTTTGAATCAAAGCATATACATTTAACATATCAACGTATACAGTTAAGCCAAACGTTAATAATATCTGATCACGCTATTAACGTTCTTCTTGAAGATAATCTGGTACTTAGGCGCTATTATGCGATTTAAACCACGTGTTTGTACTTACAGCGGATTAACATTGCAACTGTAAGCCATGAGTTTAAGCTGAATCCATTTTCAGATCAGATTCAATTGGATATATGTATCGCGTCATAAACGAATGCCACGATGATGTCACGTGCAGGTATTCGTTTATTCAGTTTTTTAACTTTTTCCATTTATTTAGCGAAATTTATTGTTTGCGATTGCATGTTACTAAATTAAAGTAATATTCATTTATTAAAAAAAACTAAGAGGTGAATAAAAGACAAAAAATTTCGTGTTTATTCTAAACATGTCATCGATTATAGAGGAAATCAAGTACTTCATTTTCTATTTTTTAATAAAGTATAAAAAAAAAGCTTTCTTATTTTGAGATCAATCACTTTAAAGTCTCAATAATAATTTTCCTGTTATTCCAGCTGACAAAGTATGCCGAGGACCCAAGAACTATGGTTATGCACCAGTCAATCTGCCACAAGCTTCTTTAACTTACTATATTGATCTCAATTATTATTTGGACAAACAGATATTAGTATGTATCAATCATTATTACTTAAAAAATATAAAGGGGTTTTAAATGTTTACGATATAACTTTTCTTTGTGAAATCTATAAAAAACAACTTTAAATATTATCTTTTAATTTAATTTGAATATTAAGTATTCAGCATATTACCTGATTGAAAACTTCATCCGCTTAAAAAAACAGTCGACATGATTAAATAAAAAACTTATAAGTTTTCCTATTTCAAATCTCTTTTGTATCGTTACATTCACGTCTGTCAAGTCTTGAAAATGGGCGCCTACTTTTTGATGCGCTTATTGTCGATTGTTATTTTATTTTTGCATATTTTTGAAGCAAGCATATTATAATTCATCATAGAAAAATCTTGGAAAATTCTATATTCTTAATTTGCAGCTCCTAATCTCAAACTAATCAAATTATAATTCCACTTTAACTTGTTGCCCAGTAATCATATTAATTTTTGTGAGGCACACGATATAGAAATCTTCCGATTTTGCGCACTATAGTAACTTTTGCTAAATGTAATATTATTTTATACTGAGGGGTACGTTACATCAGGACAGAATCCCTCGCTGCCATTTCTCTTTGAACTACATAAGTAATTTAAAGTTTAGAAAATGTGGGATCAAGTAAACCATGAAGTTTCGAATGTCGAATTTCTTTTTTTAGAAAAATATAATGCAAACAAATTATGGCAGAATGAGTCAAAATTTGATTGCGCTTTGAAAATTTTGGAAATATTGATTCAGAATTGTTTTTTTTTCCCTAGGTTTACCTAAACTTCCTTTTCTTTAATTTTTAAAATGACAATGGAAGTGAAACAGAATTTATCATGATGTGTTTTAACCGCGGTATAGCTTCCTCTTTCTTCCATATTTCATCTAACAACCTTAGTATGAACCCATTTTATTTCATTTTATAACCGGCGGTGAAAAGCCAACCATAATTCTGAGTTTACGGCTATCCATGTTCAGCTCCGTAGCCTTCTAATTTTGAACCCAACTCAGGAGATAAAGTAACTCCTGGATCGACAAGCTAGCTTTCGTGGAAGACTTTTTAATGGAACTAGTATAGCGTTAGATGCATAAAATCACGAAAACCTCTCACGGTTAGCCCGATGGCTAGAGGATTTTTAATTCTGTCTACAACAGCACTGTGTTCGTTGTGAGCCTAGTGCGGAATTCGTATTAACCAGTTCGGACCTGGGTCACCTCACTGAACGTTTTATCCTCTGGATTATCCTTTATTATAAATCTCGTACAGAAAATTATTCATTCGATATATCATTCGTATTACACTTTCCCAGTTTTATAAGTTCAACAGTATTCAATGAAATGAACGGCTCCGTTATGTGCACATATTTCTGCGATGTGCAGACTTTTCTGATATGCACATGAAATCTATGAGAAACAAGCGTGAACTTCTTTCAATTCTACATTTTATCATTATCTATATGTTTTCTTATATTTCATTCTAATCTAGTCATTTTTTTTTCTTTGACACCTTATAGTTCAAAAAATAAAGCAGAGATAGTAGGTCAAAGATTATGCCGTTTGGCACATATTTCGAGAAACTTCGGACTTACATTTTTGAAATAGCTCTGAATAAGGTCGATCAAACCAGTCGTAACATCACCTTCACGAATGTCAATGTATTGCACGAGTCTTTGACACGAGGTACAAGTGTTGCTAAGCAATTCACGTTACAACTTATCTCGATATCTTATCATTATACTCTTCAGTTCGCCACATTTATGACTGTTTCAAGACCTAATGGCTCTTCGTGGCATCTGTCGGAAAAGAATTTGATTTTCTAAGAATTACTTACCGTTTTAAAAATGCATCTTTTATTCCATCCTTATTACTATATTTTAAACGAAAAAAGATCACTAAAATTTAAAAAAAAAACTACTTTGTTTAACGGTACTTGAACATTCTATTACAAAGATTCGAGTATATTAGATAAGAGATTCAGATCGATTTTTAGAACTATCCTTACCTGAACGCTTTTAATTTAAAAATAAATGGCAAAAAATATATCTAAATCATTTTTAAAATTTTAGACAGAAAAATTAAAAACTGTAGTAATGAGCAGGGCCAACTCAAAACTATGTGTGTGCATAAATTATGACACGAAGAAAGTTGAGCACAACTTTATTATAATGTTCCTAAAATTTAATTTGATGACAAAAAGTATCAAATATTTTTTTTTTTAATTTCAGTATTTTTAATGACATGATTGTGCCTTTTGTACCAATATATATAGGGTTGCATACTTTGACCTCAGATTCGTGTAAATTATTAATAGTTAAAAAAGAGATCAAATCAGAAAAAATCACACAAAAAATCAGAGGTCAGGCTATATTAGATGTTTTTAGAACATTGAAACATAAATAATTTTTTTAACAAAAGTACCAGGGAAGTTTACTCTGACATAAGAGCCAGTAGAGTGCGCTCCATATCGCTTTAACTTTTAAAATCTCTTATCTAATATATCCGAACAATCCAGTTCATAAGTTTCACCTGACATTATAATTATTAATTTAATAATAATTTTTCATCAATATTTCAAATTGTATAAATTATTGATTACGCTATAAACAATCGATAGCGTAACAGATTAAAATCTTAATGAATAATGCTACTCGATTCATGACATTAGGTTTGACTAAACAGCACCAGTCCTGCTATTCTCAAATTTCCGATTCACATTTCGTATGAATTTCCATTTGAATGAAAGTAATTATGATAAATGATTATGATGAAGTGATCACATTAGCAGTTGAAAAACTTAATAGAAAACCGTGTTTTAATGTCAAATGATATAGTATTGTTAAAGAGAGAGGTACTTTTTAAAGTTTAGATTTTTATTTTTAATTTCCGTAACGATGTTCCCTAAATCATTATGATAAAAAAAAGCATACAGTAGCAATTGAAAAATGTAATGGAAAAACATTAGTGAGTTTTTAGATACTTTTGTGTTTATTAAAAAAGTTTAAGTATGAGCATAATATAAGATATGTAATGTCTGAAAATGTTTACATGACCTCCCGTGCATGGTAGACAAAACATCCCTTTTGTATACAAATTATTGAAAACTTATGAATGTACCAACTGTTAATCTGTCTATACATTGCAACTTAAACTTTTACATTTATTATTTTTATGCACAGTGATTGAGATAATTTTTTTAAATAAAAACAAGCATTCCACGGGAAATAATAAAAAATAAGCTAACTTTTTTTAATAAATTCTTCTTTACGTAATTAAATCTTTTAACATTTAGATCCTATTAAATATGATCTTTTTTTTTTCATTGCGGCCTCATTCTTGAATAAAATAAAGGCAATAATTAAAGGTGGAGCTTGATGCTTCATGGGGAAATAATGTGTTTAAGAGTTCATATGATGTGTCTTGATCGTTTTTGTTTTGATAAAGATATATACTTCTGAGCGTTGCTGCTCTTCCTTCTTCAGGAAAGTATTCTTTTTTTGTTTGTAAACAACCCATATGGCATCTTGGTGTCTTACGTCAAAATTTGAAGGAAAAATAAGTAAATAAATAATAATAATAATTAAAAAGAATAATAAATTAAAAAAAGATTTAAAAAAAACGTTTAATCGGTATTTTTGATCAAATACTTACTTGCCTGACTGAACTTGTAAGCGTAAAAATGTATGTTTGATTAGAATTTTTACAATGACCCCGGCATGTCAGCCATTCAACATAATTTATGAACTCTTAATTTGTATATTATTTATGCGATAATGATCTATTGAAATTCAACTATCATTAAAAATCTTTATCTTAGTTAAATATCTGAATAATTTATGGCTAATGATTTTATTTCAAAATAAAAGTTTTTTTATTTGTTTCCATTTGAGATACGGAAGGGTATTGTTGTGTTACAAATGATGCCACACAACTCGTCTGGATTATTATCTGGTCTTGTTTCAGACTCACCTGTCAGCATTTTATTAAAATAATTCCATCACATCATTAACTTTTATATTACGGAACACTCACAAAAATATGAACAACAAAAAATTTTCTACACTCGCAATTTTACGCTTGAAGTAAACATTTATTTTCTGAAGGAGTTAGGCTTATGCGCGAGGTAACTATTTAGGGATTTTTCATTCACTTTAATTTTACGGAACACTCGCAAAAATATGAACAACACTCGTTACTTGAAGAAAATTTATATGTTCTGAATGAGTGAGCTTACGTGCGAGTGAACAAAGTGAGGGATATTTTTAAACCGATAAATTTTGATTCCTTGCATCAAATAATATATTCTTTTTTTACGATTTCAAAACAGGTCAACACTCGTCAAGAATGTCTTCAGCAGTGTTCTCTGGAAAGAGAGTTCGTGTGCCGGTCAGTTCTTTTCCGTGCGGAACCGAGAACAAAAAAAGCCATCTGTAAACTTTTCCACCTCGATCACATCATGTTTCCCGATGGAGCTGAAACTTTTGCAACACCCAATCCTTTCCCCCTCTTGGACACTGGTGATAGCACTGGAGTGTATTTGGAGGCTATCTGCGCAAGTACGATAATTGTTTTCGTGTTCATGCTTTCATATATTAGGGGGACCGGAAAGTAATATCGTTTCATGCATTTGACGTCAAGATTTTATTTTTAAACAATAATGCATTCACCCTCGTTGGCAACAACCTTTCAGTGCTGGATCGAAAATGAATCGAAAAAAATGAATTGGTTTTTAAGATATTTATGATTTGGTTAAGATATAGATTAATATTTAATGCTCCGAAACGACATTGCTTTCCGGTCCTCCTAATGTACTTTTTTTTATTTAAATTTCTTCCCGAAAGAAGGCAAATATCTCATTTTCTATATAGAACTTCCGGCTTTTAGCCCCAATATTTTAAAAAATTAATTTAGTTTCAAAATTAAAGCTTAATCCTTTTGACGCAGAATTCTTATTAAACACTTTTTTTCTCATTATCTTGTAGTAATTTAGGAGAAAATAAATGAATAATATAGCATTTTAATAATTTATGGCTATGAAATTCAGTGTGAAACATGGGTGACTTTTTCTGTGCATGAATTAGATTAATTTAATATAATTATTACCCATCAAGCAAGAAACGAAAAAATTCATTTTAAACTTGTCACAAAAAGTTTTTGCGATCACGAGTAGTAAAAATTGCTAGATTGATGGGGAAAAAAGTATAATTGGCAATATTTATTTCAATTTTGTTACACTAAACCATAAACTATCTTCAATAAATCAGAAAAATACAAAAACAAATTACGCACTTAATTGCATTTTTAGCGAGCAGAAATAGATCACTCGAAAAATCAAATACGAAATGTTACAATTACAAAATTGTATTAGAAATTAATCAAACAGATGCCAACATAAGCTTGGTATATATTAACCCTTTTATGCGGAATTTTAATGAAACATTCTAATCAGAATGCGGCCATACTACACCAAATGATAATGATGTTAAGTAATTTAAGTGAACTGATCAAATGGTGATATTAATTAAGTCTAACACATCAAAGATAAAACGTCATTGAGGCATATGATAGTTATAGAATCCATTAAAAGGCTCATAAGACTTTTGTAGTATCATTTCATAACGTTTTAATGATTAGAATATATTTACCATAGTAAGTAGCACCCCTTAAGAATTGAGTAAAAACTGGCATCTAATATCTTTTATATTCTAGATAATGCATCTTTTGATGATCATTTGTTTTATTTCCCAGATGATACATCTTTCATTTCACAGATAATGCATCTTTCATTTCTTAGATGATACATCTTCTTACATCTTTTGATAATACATCATTTATTTCTCAGATGATACATCTTCAAAACGGAATAAGCCTTCGAAGGGTACCATCAATTTGAGTAGTGCACAGCAACAAACTCCCCAGCTACCCACTAGTGTACCATTTTATCCAGAGAATCAGGATCCTTCCTGCGACGTATACGGTGTCTGTTACGATGGTATGACAACGACTTCTTTTTTTTTTACATCGAAACTTCTTCATAGATTGGTTTTTTTTTTACACTTATTAGTCAGTTATTTGTTTTAATTGAATTCAGAGAATTTAAAGTTAGTTCTAACTCAGATGAATCTTCCAATATGAAAATATGCTGCAGCCTTTAGAAAATTTTGCTAACTCCAATAATGCTATAAAAAATTTTAAATAAAATTTAGTAAATTTCTAGAAAAATGTTTGTTGGTTTTAATAAGAAACTTATTTATGAGGAGATTGATTATGGGGTTATTTTAAATAATAATGATCATTTTTCCTACCCACACCGCGTCATTTAGTACTCGTATGTTTAAAGTTGGGGACCTTGCCAATCTCTTCTAAAAATTTTGAAAGATTTTGTATTTATTAAACAAGTTAGAGTTATAAAAAGTAACATGATAGTCACATAGTCTTATTTTATTTAAAATAAAATAAATGAAAAACTATCTAGTGGACTTTTTTTAAAAAATTTTATCCTAATGGTTCTTCAATCCATTAAAGTACGGACTCGGGTCATCGAGAATAAATAGTTTTTTTTTTAAATTTTATTTATTTATTTTTAAGAAATTTGAACTTTCCTAACATAATTTCCCTTTGTGTAGTGTCCATCCAATGCACGGACTCTAAGATCATCGTGTTCGTGAAGACAAATCGCCATTTCCACGGCAGAGTATATGCTTTAGGTAGAAGTGAAACATGCCACGCCAATGTACTCAACAGCAATCAATTCAGGCTCGATCTCTCTCTAAACGGACAAGACTGCAACACGCAATCCATGGTACGACCCCTTTACACTCCTATACATCTTCATGTTGTCTGACGTCATTTATGTAACTTAAAACTTTTGTAAAATAGGGAGGTGTGTACACGAATACAGTTGTTTTGCAACATCACAATGTCGTGATGACAAGAACGGATAAAGTGTATAATGTACGATGCACATATGAAGTCACTTCTAGAAACATATCTTTTGGAATGATGCCAATCAGGTAATTAAGAAACATTTTGGTATTCGTTGAACATTTGCAATTTTGTACCACGACTTTCTTTAAAAAAAAAAATTTCCATAATTTTGTCCAACCCCTGTCGTATATATATATATAGGATNTATATATATATATATATTTATAAATCTGTTATTGTAGGGATCCAGATACCATGCAAGTGACAGCCTCTCCAGAAGCCCCCCTTCCCAAAATAGTCATCCTCGGAACGGAAGGAAGAGAAGCTTCCACAGTCAGGATAGGAGATAAACTTACCTTCAGGATAGAAATTCCTGACGGAAGTAAGTGATAAAGTTCCTTCCCTTTTATTAGCAATCATCATGTACCGCGATTGCAATAGAGTGATAAACCATACTTTTATCAAAGGTGATCATTTTATATCAAACCCTTCCCTTGCAATGTTTCCCTATAGTTAGCTTAAAATTTTTCGGAATTGACAATAGAGAACAGCACAATGCATATAAACATCTTTTTGACAGGGACGTATTTTCAGGAAAGTGTTTTTCTCCCAACCATTAACTATAATTGACAGTAAACTTATCTTGGGTAAGTATTGACAGTATTAAACTTATTTACCGGGGTAATAACAAGCTGTGATTACAATAAATTATAATAGCGATGAATGGATTATTGGCACTATAAAAGACATTAGTTAAAGTTTTTTCTGCATTTTTCATTCATTCAATAGAAAATTTCGTGCCTCTGAAGCACTATTTCAGACATAAAATAATTGAATCCAATATATGCAAATACACAGAAACATTAATCTATTTACAGCTGAGATTATATCTAAAAGAAATACTTAAAATATTTTCTAAATAAGTTAGTTTTTCTCTATATATACAACTGAAGATGATATATTTTTTACAAATAATTTTGGTTGGGTTGTTACGACACACTCATGAGTTATTGGTGGCAATCTAAGATTTTTCCAATTGGATCATCATGATGATCCGAAAATAATATTAGCGCAAGCGCATTCTACCCTATCACAATTTAGATCGGTGTGCATGATGATGGTAGAAATAACCCAGTCTCCGCATCACACTTCACAACTGTCTGTGGACTTTTCCGGCTCCGGAATTGTTAGGGACATCACATTTGAGTGGATTAGGTATGATTGTTGTGTGATCAGACATGGTGCCTTCAGCATGGGACTCCAGCTCAACATTGGCAGGCGAATACTTAAAACCAATTTTATAGTTCCTTCAAATTAACAATCGAAGTTTAAAACAAATATATACATTTATTGTTGCCTTAAAATAAACAGTCATTGGAAATAATTATAACATCAAAATATATTTGTGCTTTAATTTAAATGTTTTTTTATGGATAAATTATAATTTGTAATAGTTGTTACTTTTGTATTATTTTACAGCTCCATACGGAATATTTGCTCGCAGCTGTGTGGCAATGGCAAAAGATGCAAGAAGTGTCTTTGAAGTGATTGACGGCAGAGGGTAACTTTTAAATAACCAACATTTAACAATTTTTTCAACAGTTGAGCGTAATAATACCTACCAGCTTGCTCCGGATTGTGGATACACATTATGTCTATAATAACAAAATTTATGTTTATGTATGATTCTTGGCTTAGTAAATGCGATATATCCACCACTCATTCTAAACAATTCAAAGCCTTCTATGAAATACCTCTTTGTTGCCACTAGAAAAGCCGTTTAATTGTTAGTCGTAAGTAAAGGCCGTAGTTACAAATTGATATTTAAACAAAAGGCAGTTGTGTTAGGTAAATCTTATGGTAAAATTAATCACTTCTTTAGATCAAAAACAACCTTCGTATGCTTTTTCCATTATCCAAAAATATCTGTCCAAAACAGTTTTTCTATGTTGTTCCATAATATTTATGCGATGCACTCTTTTCTGTGTAAAATAAACGTAAATATATGGGAGTATATTTAATAAGATATTTTTTACATGTTTTATTAATAGAATTTAATCATAACCACTTGCGCTAGAAAGATGCCTTTATCAAATATACTAACGTGACGTGTTATACACGTCCATAGACAATTATAATCACTCGAAATGAAACTCGCATCATGGAAATTGAAGCATCGAAAATTTAATGCCTTTCAGTCGACTGTCTTTGTTAGCGCTTCTGTAAATTTCTTTCCAACGTAAGTGGTTAAATCGCACTGCAGCGTAAGTATAAATAACAAGAAAGCTTATACGTGGTAAGTAGAACAAAAACAAAACTTGCACTGCCTGTACTTTGAAAAATAGTACTAAGTTTACCTAACCTAGGTTAAAACAGAAAAAAGCATTTTCTTTTTAATCTTAGAAAGCTTAATGAGTATTTTCTGTTTGTAGTAAATCTGTCATATGATTGATCATCACAACTTAGAACTATATATAGGATATAGCGCTGCGTTTCGAATCAAGGCTCCCCAATATTATAATTTTCTGTTGCAATTGTAGTTCCATTTTCCAAACCATATAATTTTTTGTGAACAGAATTGGTATTTTTTGTTTTCTATCTACAGGATAGTCTATAATTGTCACGACCCTTGTTTTTGTAAATCAGAAAAGTTAAAATGTTTTAATTGTGTCAATGAACTTTGAAAATGCCATTGTAAGTTGCAGTTTTTATACTAGTACTATAGATAATTAAATTTGATGGGGGAAAAACGTACTTTAAATTTAAATGCCAGTGCTTCAAATTCTGGTAAATTAAGACTTTTAAGTATATTATTATTGAAATTTTACAATTGGAACTAAAATTACCATAAATCCGTAACGGTTATTATTATTCCTAACAGTAAAAAAAAAAATTAAAGTATGAATTTCCAACTTTTTTCTTTGGCCTCGACCCCAAATCAACGGACCTTTAGGCTTTTCGATCTAATTCTTAATGGTCGTTAAATAAGGAATAGTTAAAGGTTGAATTTCAGTGAATAATATAGTTAAATGGGAAAGGTGTTTATAAAATTGTGGAAAAAAAAGATTGAGTGTTGTATAATAATAGAAATAATGAATACCTTTACCATCTAACGATTTTATTAGGAGTTCAGATAGAGCAATTTTCAATTATCCCTCATTTGATAATCATAATTAAATGATTATCACTTAAAATAAAGTAATTTAATTTCCATTTTTGGAGGAGTTTTAGCGACCCACTTTTGAACACTCAACAATCCAATACGTGGTATTTTGTAATCACCAAATCACACACCCTTATTGAACATTACATGCATATATATATAAACATATTAGGGGNAAAAAAAATTTAAGTATGAATTTCCAACTTTTTTCTTTGGCCTCGACCCCAAATCAACGGACCTTTAGGCTTTTCGATCTAATTCTTAATGGTCGTTAAATAAGGAATAGTTATAGGTTGAATTTCAGTGAATAATATAATTAAATGGGAAAGGTGTTTATAAAATTGTGGAAAAAAAAGATTGAGTGTTGTATAATAATAGAAATAATGAATACCTTTACCATCTAACGATTTGATTAAGAGTTCAGTAATCATAATTAAATGATTATGACTTAAAATAAAGTAATTTAATTTCCATTTTTGGAGGAGTTTTAGCGATCCACTTTTGAAGACTCAACAATCCAATACGTGGTATTTTGTAATCACCAAATCACACACCCTTATTTCATGCATATATATAAACATATTAGGGGTTGAAAACTAATATTTAAGGAGGCGTAATGATAACTTTATGGAAATATGAGGACTTTCAATTGAGGAAAGCGAGATGAAGAAGATGCAAACCAGTTTGATGTAGAAATTAGGATTGAAGGCGACATATCACTTCTCATTTAACTCGGACAACGAAACAGGTATTTATGTGCCCAATCATGCCTTCCTTAATTGTGATTCGTCAGATTTTAATACGATTTTTGTTTTTCTCTTTCCCTCACATAAATACTAATATGTGGTTTTGACATTTTTTAACGAGGGTTCCTATATATATATATATACATATATCGTTGATTACGGAGCATACTGTAAGCTGGTAGCCTCAATATGTATTCAGTGTTTTCCTTTCAGCTGCCCAGTGGATGCCAATATATTTCCCCGATTCCGTGAAATAGGCAGTTCTTTGGAGAGCAGTTACGAAGCCTTCCGCTTCACCGAATCCTACGGTGTGATATTCCAGTGTAACGTCAAATATTGCATTGGAAAATGTGAACCAGTACGTTGTTACTCTTTTTTACTTCTTTTTTGTAAGATTTGCAACTAAACAGTTTGAGATGAATCAAATATTCTTTTTCAGGTAAATTGTGGACACGGTATGGAGAAGAGCACGTCTTGGGGTCGTCGAAAGAGGTCTCAGCCTATTGAGAAGGACAACAGTGAAATGACCCTAAGCCACGAAATATTGGTCTTGGATTTTGGTGATGAAGCAGTCAGCTCGATGAGGGATGTTAATTCTGTTAATGGTAAGGCACTAATGCTGTAGGTATATTTATAAATTTGTTAATGAAATAAGTTCTATAGAATGCCTAAAACGGCAATGTTTAGAAATGATTCATACATTTCCTATACATTCTATAGAATATCAAATGAGAAACTGGCAAAGTTTGAAATACATCTCCAATTCGTTTTGAACGCGATGAAATGTAATTCAAACTGTCATGCAAGCCTACAATGTTACAACAAGCAGCTTAATTTTAATTTCTTACTTTTCATAGGAAAATTTTGTTTCCCTTAATAAAAAAGAAGTAGATTTTGTTTAGTACAACTTTCATTTTTCTTTGCGTAATTTAAATAAAAAATTTTTAATAGCACTCTCAATATCGTTATCATCTCTATATCAGTGTAATATATGCATTTTGTAAAAAATGCACTTCATTTATATAATAGCCTTTCCAGGACCTTTTTTCACATTTTGCGTAAATAGCATTTGTCCTTCTATAGAATGCCTAAGTATTATATACAACACCTCAAAGGAAAAAACTAATAATTCTCATACTTCATACTTAGCCTAAAAATGTCTGATTTTACATACAATGCCTAGGTATTCTATAGAATGCTGGCGTTTCATACTTTGACAGTAACATGTAAAAAAAAATTATAAGTTTATACATACCTAAAAATATTGTTAAATGAATTGTTAAAAATTTAAAACATGATTAAAAATATTTTTCTTATTAATATGAGAACAATCTACGCTAAAGAGGAGAAATTTTTTAAAAATCTAATTTGTTGCTTAAAAACCAAGTACTGAAAAAGAAAATCAATAAAATTCACAAAAACTTTCACATTTTTAAAGGAACAAAGAGAATTTAATAATATTTTCCCTAAACACATTGGGTTGCTTCTTTGCAAACCTATTTTGGTGCTAGCAAGAGAACGATTTCCATTATTCAGTGACCTTGAGCAACAAAAAACATTTTTTTTAAAAATTTAAAATTCTGTAACCAAAAAATCAAAAATAAGTACATCAATTAAATAATGTAATATTCTGTTAAGAGCAATGATCATGCTCGCAATTTTCAGTAATTATTTTTTAATTCAGTTATTATATTGACACGAATTGTCGGTTACTTATAGTGCTGTATAATTGAAAAAAACAACATGAAAGACTTGTACCTACGTTGTTTTTACAATGGCATAGCAGTACAGAAGTTTGAAATCAATATATGAAGAAAAAAAAATTGTTTTAAAGGGTGTTAACAATAAATGAAGCGGTCAATGTTAAAAGAGGGTATGCTACAAATCTGCACTTTCGAGAAAAACCAAAAAACTGTGTCAATTGTCTTATTCTCTTCTTTAGAGCAGTCTAGAAAATTACTCAGTATTTGATAATCAGTGATTGATATTCCAAAACCAACAAAAAACTTATTTTCGTGAAACCTCATTTAAACATTGACCGCTTCAAATGTATATTACTGTATTTTATTAAGAACAAAGGCCATGCTTGTCATTTTCAGGAATTAATTCACAAATAAAAAACTATGTTGATATGAATGATGGTTTTTCATATCAATATAATTTTATACATTCCTTTGAATCTATAAAATTGAATAAAATTAATTTTATTATTTAATACTTATTTATCTTTTTATAGATAGTTAGTAAAAAAAATTCTTTATTAAATTAGTAAATGAAAAAATGATGTAATTTTATTAATTTTTTCAGAGAGCACTCACTACAAAGAATCAGTTTTAATGCTGGAAACATGTGCTTCGAAAACATCTCTAATGGCTTTGAGCGTCACGAGTGCTCTTCTTTTGGTATTCTACATCTGTACTGTGGCATATTTTGTGGCACACAAACGAGTCCGCAAGGAATTTCGATAAAGAAAACAAGCTTTCTGACTTTACTTCTTTCATGGCTCTACTTTCCAAAGAATATGAGGTTCTTATAAGAAGCAAAACTACTCTAAGACTCATGAAACAAAATTCAATATATGCGTTATACATAACATTTCGGACTAGCAACACCAGCAGATATATTTCCTGATTAATTTATTTTTCGTGAAGATTTTAACGTTTCTCAATCATGCATTTTATCATCATATATTTATTTCATCTATTACATGTTTCATCATTTTTTTTTATCATGCAGACATCTATGTGTTTGTTAAGTTTTGCATGTGCAAAACTTTATTGGGTATAGGAAAAGGAGGTGCCGGGTTTTGTACTGCAAACTTGTAAATATTTTATGAGACGAATTGGAATGAACATATTTATTTTTTAACAAAACTGTACATAAGCCAAAAATAAAAAAAGTATATTTGTAACTTTTGTTCTTATTCAGATTAAGAGTACACACACCAAGGCCACGTAATTTTGATGGTATGTTACTACTTCACTAATATTGGATCATATTCACTGTGATTTTTATTTTACTTCATATTTTCCGTGTTGGTTTATTTTCTAAAAGTAGTTTTATAAGCCTGTTGACATATGGAACACACCCAGGAACTTTCATTAGGCTCAAGTTCGGGCTTCTGAACCCGAAGATTTAAATAAGGACTGCCAAACCCAAGATTGTTATGTACTCGAGTGCAAGAATTAATATGAAAGGTAAAACTAAAGTTAACTAAGATACGAAATCAAAACTTGCAGAGAAAAGATCACATATAAATTTATTGAAATACCTATTTATAGTTATTTAACTTAATTTTTACATCAAATTATTATTTTTTTTTTACACTTAATAACTAAATCAAAGTAATTTTTGTTAGGGAAAACTTTATAAGCCTGTCTGAAGAATTTTTTTCAGATAATGTACCTGTGTCAGACTCAAAAAAGAGGTATGCATCTTGAAAAATTCCCATTAAAATAAAGTTACACTTAAATTGAAGAGCATGGTTGAAAACATTGGATAAAGTACAAATTAGCCACCTAATTTGCCCTTAGGGTAGAACATGCTTCATTAAAGTTTCAATTTTAAACAAACGCATTTATTTTTCAACTAGCAAAAAAGTCTAAACTTTTATGTATTCATGGTGTAACACTTTGGCTGTCGGTTCAAATATCAGCTGGGATGGTTGATTAGTATCTAATATATTTAATTCAATTTATAAATGTTATGTTTTATTGAATTTATTTTTTAAAAACGAATAAATAGATATTTAATTTATTTTTTAATTAACATAAATGCATAATTTAAAAAATTGCAAATTAAAATTTTGCAATTGTTTTTTAAGCCATCCATATATTTTAATAAAAAAATAAAAAGCCTTTAATTATTTGTTTTAAAAAAACAATTTATGTATTGAATAAAACATATTAGTTATTAACCTTTTTTAAAAAAAGAAAGCTCGGGATAAAATTCAACCGTCCCAGCTGGGATTGGAATTTGGGATCTCTCTGGCAGAAAGTCTAACTGTTACCACATGATTACACAAGAGTTCACAAGTTTGAAGTAAATGAATTGAAACTTTAATGGGGCATATTTCACCCTAGTGACAGATTAGGTGGCTAATTTGTACCCTATCTAATGTTTTCAACTATGCTCTTTAATTGTAGCTTCACTTTGTTTTAATAGGAATTTTTGAGATGCCTACTTCCTTGTAAGCCAATCTCACGTCTAATACCAACCTAGTTCATTTAGTAATGCAAGTACCTAAATAAGACTATTTTAGCTGTGCATTTAAAAAAAAAATTTTGTTTGTGGATTTCTAATAACTTTCATATTAATTAAGTTAATGTGAAATTTTTTTTAATTTAAGTTCAGTGACTAAAGTTTTTGCAACAGCTTGAAGTTTAAATATACTGATGTCGACAAAGTATTTGAATAAATCATGAGAACTGAAGACATCGCTCTGTTCATAAAAAGAAATTAGATTAAATATTGTTAGTCATTAATTGGGTTCTTAGATTCACAACTCTTAGTTAAATGATACAAAAAATTACGTGTAGAGGGTTTGTAAATACTTTAAAAAGAGCAGTATTATTTAATCATAAAGATAACAAATCAAATTAAGGATAAATTCATCATGAATAAAATCGGTGAAGTTATAAAAACACTAAATACATTCAACATACATGGCCTTAGTAACTAGTTTAAAAATACTTAAGGGTTGTATGTTAGTAGTAAATAGGGTTCTCAGTTCCACAAGTCTTTCTGAAATTGGTAGAAGCATAGAGTATCGTGTGATGTCTCGTGGTTAATATTATTTGGCACTAAATGAGACAAATATCTCTGAAAAATATCAAGGTTTCAGATAATTTTCTTGATATAACTGACAAAAATTTTGCAACGTGTGGTTTAATTTTTTTTAAAGTGCAATTTAAATAGGACATTTTTTGTTAAAGTTCGAACTTTTTAACAACAGCCATACAATTACAAAAGTATAATTGGCCATAGTGCTTTAAAAAAAACACACCAAAATTAGTTTGTGGAAGAAATCTGTCTTCCTACCAAAAAGTTTACATTTGCATAGAAAACACGATGCATAGAGTGGAGCCTCCTAAAACAAAATATTCAGATTTCTTTTAAAATTAATATGACTTACAAAACAGATAAGTTTTATTAAATAACTGGAAACGTGAAATATTTTTATTATATCTCACATTTACAACAGTTTGTTTTGATGCATTTTATTTAATATTAAAAAAATTATTCCTTCAGTTTCTCTTAATGTGGCTCCCAAAGACACCTAATCCATTAAAATGACAAATACAAAAGAAATAAACATGGTTTGAATTACGAGATTTAATATTCATTTGCAGTCATAAGTACAAAAGCTATGATTGTGAAAATTTACAAATACAATATTATATATTTGAGAATTGCAAAATTTGTTTACAAATGATATACAATATACTTACATAAATACAGTTTATAAATCTGTACAATTCTTTATAGAGACCAACAATTCAATAAAATAATAAAAAAACAACTCAAAATTTTCATCTACGAAAAAATAAAAAAAACAATAATCACACATGTGGTCCCTAAGCAAAAAAATAATAGGGAAAGGATGAAAATATCTATGTTTTGCTAAGATCTATTATGAAGTAGGACTTTCTTTCTTAGCAGCATCCCGAATAGTAGAGAATGTTTTCTGAAACCAAGTGTTTTTTGAAGATTGCAACTCAGTCATTGCTGTATTTAGCTGATGAGTAAGATCCTACATAAAAACAATTATTTTTTTAGCAAAATATCCTTTTTAGAATGTTTACAAATAAGACTTAAATTCACAAAAAGCAAAAAAAAAAAAACTTTTTTTTAAATTAATATTTGAAGACAATAAAAAGCAGTCACTGTGTTCACATCTTACCATAAAATGAATTGAACCTCTTATTTTTATGGATAAAAAAATGTAATTTTAATTTTTTAAAGAATGAATGTAAGATAAATCCACCTGTTCAAGCTCAAAAATAAAAAGTAATGGCAAAAAAAAACTAAAAAAATTAGACATGCATGAAAACTTTATCATGATTGATTGATAAATGCCTGTATTTGGGATTTTCAACCCAATCTTTAGGTTTGGTTACGTCAATTGCATGTTAAATTAATGTTTCTGTTTAAAATTTGTAAGACCTAAACGTGACACTTCGTTGACGTTTTTTTTTAATGTTACCATACATTCTTAACTGTACATTTTTGATTTTTAAAAAGGAAACTTTAGACTAATTTTGAATTAAACATTTTTCCATTTGACTAAAAATTGTTCTCTTAAAAAACAGACAACCATAAAAATAACTTTTTATCATATTAAAATTTAGAAATTAAAAAAAAAAAAAATTGGGACACAACCTTAAGCCAAGTGCTCCCCTTTAATTGCAGTATAAATATTCATATAAAATAAAATTTTCTACTAATATAAAACAAAAAGTTATCCCCGCCTATCTAATAGTAAGTGTATATACCAAACATATTCAAACCAACCGCATGTGATTTATCAATAACAAATATGTTTGTTTAATAGAATGGTCTAAAACAAAAACATTTCAAAACAAAAACTTATATTTGAGATTGAAAGGATTATTTTGAGAGGAAGAAAGCTTTAGTTAACTACTAAAAATCCAAAATCATATTTTATTTTAATTGTTGGTAATGCAACTAAATACACATTTGAAAAATCTTAAGAAGAATGTTTAAACCCCGACAGTGATTAAAAAAAACTAGATAATTAAATAATATAAAGCAGTAAGTGAGAGCAGATAAAATCTGACTAATTAAAAACTATTGTTGAAGTAAAAATGACTGGAAAAAGCTTTTAACAGTTAAAAAATAATAATAATATATATATATATTTAGCTCTTATGGAAAAAAATTGAATCATTTAAAAATATTTCAAACTAGATCATTGTAGCTGCAAGCACTTTACCATCACAAGATGGATAGTGTGACCATATTATGAGAAGAAATTACTCTAGCATTTATTTAAATTTGAGACCAATAGACCTTATTGTCTATGAAAGAGACATTTAATAACTGACCTGATTTTTGCACTCAGCTTCAACTAAAGCTAATTTTGTCCGTGCCAACTCTAACTCTAGTTCTCGCGCTTGACACTCGGCTGCTTGAATTCCAGTTTCTTGATCGGTTAGAGATTCTTTACGAGATTTATTGTTGACTATGCTAGGAACTGCGTTTTCAAAATATTTGGAACAGAGCCTGCATGAACTAATTCGAGCCTGAAATGAAAAAGCATAAAATAGGTGTTTCTAGAATAACTACAATAAGTATTCGAGTGACAATGTTTAAAACTACAGCGGATCCAAATGAAGAAAGAGTATTCCTAGAATAAAGCATAAATAGTGCAGCAAAATCAGACACACTATAATTTTAGTTCCGTAATCACAAACTTTCCTCATTGTAAAAACACAGAATAAGAAAAAAACACAAAAGAAAAAATCCTAGAGTAGTATTTATCACTATTTTAATATATTTCCTCCATTTTATATGCTTTAATATGCTTCCTCCATTTTCCTTTTTGACAAAAAGAAAACACAAAATGAATTATAGACCTGAAATTATAGTATATCTATTTTCAGGGTACCGTTTGTGCTTTATTTTCTTCATTTAACTTCATTCACTGGGGTAAATGTTTTATATATCTCTATTTTTTTCAAAGTCTTCACTCTTTCGAGTACAAAAAAAACACAAATGCTTAAAACATGATACCATTTAATAAATATCAGCTATTTATAAAGAAAAATAAATATCATATTTCATAAATATCAAGTTTTAAAGCCCTAATGACGTTTATTTCTCCTGTTCAAACGTTGATGTTTGTTTTCTAGAAAATAAAAAATCTTTTAAAAAAAGTCTTGATATGCTAATAAATATTTTTAAGTAGATGCATGCCTCTAAACATTTATTTCTGAAATCATGAATAATTTTAAATGATTAAATATCTTTAAAATACATACATTAATTTTAAAATTGAAGACAAAATATACACAGAATATAAATTAGTAAAATTATAATTATTACTTAAAAAAATACTAAACCATTATAAGCTCCAAATTTTGCCTTGCTGTCGTTTGTTCTTTTTCTAATCTTGTACTCAACTGCTTGCATATCTTTGAAATAAAAGAAGAATTTTATAAATAACAAATTTTAGAGATACATATGCATGACACCATCAGGTGAATCTAAAAGAGTTTAGATGAACTGATCATGATACACACTAAAATTCAGAACACAAATTAAAATAACTCAGAAGTGAATCTTATTAGAGAAAAAAATATTAAGGTATAAGAGTGAGAGAGAGAAAATAAAATGAAATAATAAAATAGAGAAAAGTAGAAGAGTAAGAGTAGATAGATAGAAGATACCTCAATAAAAGAATGATAGAATAGAGGATAGATTTTTTTTTTAAATTAAAGTAACTGTATAACAATAACAACATTAAATAAAATAGTTTATGCATTTCAATTTGAAACATAATGTTTACTCTTCAACAAATATTTAAAGACTAAAAAAATTAAAATTCATCTTTCATTATGTATATTAGATTATAATTCTAATTTAAATAATGAAAGATGAATAACATTATGATAGAGGTGCACAACCTGTGGCCGCGAGACCTTCTAAACACAATAAAAAACAAAAACAAAAAACGTTCTTAAGTTTTTAAATGAAAATCTTATGTAGAAAATCTAAATTTAAATGTTTCATATTGCCATATTTTTAGAGGAAAAAAAATTGCTATAAAATGAAGTTAAATAGTAACGTTCATTAAAAGGAAAATGCCGTGTCATAATAAAAGTGCCTATAAAAGAAAAAGTTAATTAAAAAGAAAAACAGAAAAAACAAATTGCTCTTAGTTCCTAAAACAAAACCTTAACACTGAAAATCACAGTTTTCTATATTACTGGTTAATTATATTACAGTACAGGGCAAAAGTGATAATAAATTAATAGTATAAGACGTTCTGTTAAAATGCTATGTTATAATGAAAACAGAAAAAAAAATGAGAAAAAAAAATTCGTCTCAATTCTTAGAATTAAAAGTATTGAAAAAATGACTAAATTTACTTGTCTGAATGTAATATTGAAAAAAAAAAAAGCATAAGTGCCAAAACTTGTGGTTTTTTATCAGAATTCTTTTAAATGAATTTTTGTACTGCAAGATATGATAAAAAGCATTTCTTTTCTCCAAAACTTATTTATTTATTTTGATAAATCTACCTTTGATATGATAAAAATGGCAATTTTTAAAATAAAAAAAGTATTAGTGTCTTTATTTTTTAATGAATTTTAATGATAGAATGCCTTTAATTTTCTTCAAATATATTACTAAGTTTATTGATAAAAAAAATTATGACACTAATGTCTAAATAAATCTAACTACATTCGCCGTTAACATGTCTAAATACATGTGCGGCCCTTCGTTAGTCAACCTGCTGCGCAAGTGGCCCTTCACTCAAAAAGGTTGTGCACCCCTATATAAAGATATAAGTGATATTAATCGAATAATTAATATTCTAAAATATTATAGCTTAGAAATCAAGTACCTGTTTATATTCAGATATTATTGTAGAGTTTTGTGTGCTTTCAGTTTCAGCTCTTTGAAGTTCTCTTCGACACATTTCTTTTAACTAAAGATAGAAAAAAAAATAATAACATATTCACCATTAAAAATACACAGCTGCCAACGTAACAAAATTAAAATTGTTGAGATCCTGAAATAATTTTTTGATGGCCAAGAAAAATAACTGTACCTATAAAAGAAATTCTCCCATTGACTTGCTAAAAAAAATTATAAAAAGAAATACAACAATTTACTGAAAGTAAAAACTGTGAAATATTTGAAGCGCATATATAAAAAGCTAACGAAAGAAACTTTTTTTTTATAAATTTTTTTTACATCTAAAATAATTGTATCAACAAAAATCGGAATAATTTCTTTTTTTTTCTTTTTCTAACAGCCTTAAAATTATTTTTATCAAAAAATATTTGTGATATGAAGTATAAACTTAAATAAATCACTAAAAAAATTATTTAACAACTTTTTTATTCTTTCACTACATTTCTTTTTCTTCAACATAAGAAAAATACAATATAAAGGCAATGTAAAAAAAAATGAGGAGGTCATACTTTTTAATTTAGAATTAAAGTATCATAAACAATGAAATACCTGAGTTACTTCCAAAGACAATCTTTTCTTTTCATCTTCCAACTCAGAAATTGTGTGCATAGCTGCCTGCAGCTCTTTATTTACAGATTCCACCTTTTCATCTGACTGCAAAATGCACCAACAACAATTAAAATACACAAAGTTATTTTATATCAGATTTCAGAACCAAATAAAAGTAACACAGGAGAGCCAACATGCAGTATCATTATTTGTTATAAAGTGAATTTCTTCCCCGTTTATTAATATAAGATTTAAAAGAAAATTAATACAATGAGTTGAATAAAGAGAGAATTATCTCAAAATCAGGATAATTTAAATAAAGATTAAAGTTAAAATAATTAATCTCCTAGTGTTTTGAATTGTCTGAAATAGACATTAGTTTTTAATTAAATAACTTCTGATAAAATAACTGCAATAGCTGACATTCCTGGTTCAGGGTGCGATTCAATTTTTAAAATACCAATATCCTATAAATGCAAAGTGCTGAAGAAAGATACTTGTACAACACCACCAATAGAAAAATGCCTTTACCAAACATTCCAGAAAGGGAAAAAACCCATATTGATTAATATAATCATACCAATTGGAAAAGGCAGCATTACTCAATCCACTATTTGCTATTAAAATCATTTGACCGATATTTATTTTGATACTTTAAGTTATAACCGCTGTTGCACAGCTAACCCGATTCTGAGTTAACGATTATCAATGTTAAATTCAATGGCCTTGTGATCTGAACCCAATCCAGAAGATAATGGAACTCCTGGATCAATCATTGAGACAAATTAGCCTTTGTGGAGGACTTTTTGATGGGACTAACCCGCATTTGCACTACATGGAGAGGAAAATCACAAAAATCTCCCATGATTAGCCTGACAGCAAGGGATCCATATATCCCCTGAGGTATTTGACTGAAATTTAAGAAAAATGTTGTCAGAATCGTTTTTTAAAAAATATTTCCCATCCATGACATAGAAATTTTTTAATAACAAACAATCCAATAAATGCCCTAAAAATTCTTACAAGATTCAATACAAAAATGGCTTTTTGTAAAATCTGGTCTGAAAGTATCATTCTTAAAGTTGAAGATAGAAAATTGATTCAATCAAATCAAAAATGTAAGACATGTTTAAAATAAGGACTGAGGAACGCTGCATGTTAGTGAAGAGTTGGAAAAAAAAGTCTTAACAAATGTTAATTTTTTTGTTACTTTAATACCTTGATGAAGTCAACTGGCTGATTTAGATTAGTTTGCATTATTCTGTTATAAATGATGCGGTATGCATATGATGCATATGGGTATTTCCATGTATCAGGCAGGGTTTTCTAATAAAAAGTAAAAAAGGGTAATAGATTTTTATCCTCAAACTTCCCTCATATAAATATGATATTTATTCATATTAACATAATAATAAATCTATTTTTAATAAAAATTAATAAAAAAATAACCCAAAAGGACATAAAGCAACTCTGGAAGAGAAATTTTTTTAGTTATCAAAAATATGAATAATAAGCCACATTTTCCAGCATTTGATGATTTTGTTTAATGTGCTGCAATCAAATGAAATTTTGGAAACTAATAAATAACCTATCTAACAATATGAAAGTTTAGGGTTCGCCTTTATAAAAGGGTGGCTAAGTCTTTGATACAAATCCATACCACATAATACACTTTTTTCAGGGAAAAACTTAACAAAGAGAATATTCTTGATAAACAGATTACTATTGAAGTTAAAATATTTATAAAATATAATTTTAAAAAATATAATATTAGATAACATGTATAGTTTGAACATCCATTGAAGAAATTATACTCATTATTTTAACACCTCAAATCTTCGTATTAGGGTTTACATAATATTCATTGACAAAAATAACCAAACATAATATTCACATTATGTTTGGTTATTTAATTTGGTTTTTACGCTTAAAACAATTTTTTTAACAGAAATTTAAACAAAATAATAAAAAAAATTAAAATCATTTTTTTTACTTTTTAAAGGATATTGCAAAATTGTGCAAATATTGCAAAATTTTGAAACAAATTATATACATTAATTACATGTACCTGAAACATAACCAGATTTTTGTAATTTCTTTTAAAATAATTAAAAATGATAAACTCAAGAGATTAAGAATTAACTAAAATGCTTGAATTTTAATTTCTCGTGCAGCTCCTTCACATGACTGTTCTTCACTATGACTGTTCTCTCATGAAACTTCAAAAGTCTTTTTCAACTAAAAATATTTTTAAGCACATTTCTTCAAATCTCCTATCTGTATATTTTAAACTGGTTGGACAAATCTTAAATAACTCAATTCAAGTTTAAGTTTCGCATTTGAAATTACACTTTAAAAAAAGTACAGAAGATTCTTTTGATCTATTATGTTGGACTAATGTGGCAAAAAAAATGCAAAATTTAATTCAATAGATTAAATAAAAAATAAAGCAATTAAATATACGGAATACAAAAGCCTCAAACTCAATCTAAGGGAGATGAATTGACATCATGTCATGTTTTCCGAAATTCTCAAATAAATAAATTAAGAGAAAATTGGCATTAAGAAAACACTTGCATGGTATGGTTATGCTGTGCTACACAGTTACTTTATTGTAATAATTGCACATACATTAAAAAAATTATAAATCAATGCTATGAAAATGCAAAAACACTATACCCATATTTTATAAAATCTGCTAAATTTCCAATGAAAAATAATAATTAAAGATGAAAAATAATGAGAATAATAAGGAATGAAAAATAATAGCCCTTTTCATAATATGAGAAGCTAAACAAACATAAATAGAAGAATGAATTTTAAATATATGACATACTTTGACTAGATCATTGCAATGCTGCAATTTAAGATTCACAAGATCATGCGCAAGATCATCATTTTCTCGATCTAAAGTTAAATTACTCTCCAGAAGTCTTTTGTTTTCTCTCTAGAATAAAAGGAAAATTGAAATAGTATGTATAACCAATTTTATTTTTATGTTTAAAAAATAAATAAAACTATACAAATGTTGTTAGTGCGACAAGATAGATTGCACAACAGTCCACATCTCATAACTGATCAAAAACAAAAACAAATATATTCTCAACTTACCTTTACTTTTTTCTAAAATAAAATTTAAAAATAATCCTGATTAACTTGTAATTAAATTTTTAACACATGGAAACATATTCATAAAATATAAACCTACAAAACAAAGTATAAATGATTTCATTTTCAAATAAACCACTTTTGTATGATTTTAAAAACATAGGTTTCTACTCATCAAATATCAACCCTAAATTACATTTAAGGAAGATATATACTATCAAGTAATCCAGGAAGTATGTTCGATTTTGAGCAACAACAAAAAAAAATGAAACAATCAATCATTATGAACTAAACTTTATTAAATAAAAAACAATGTGCAGAAAATTTTCGGATATAGGTATGCAATTATTCATAATGAGGCAAGAGCCAAAGAATGATGCAATAGCAATCATTGTGTAGTAACAGATCTGACGTATTAGAAAAAAAATCACCTGGTTTAAAATATAAGCTGTAGAAGGTGGTCAACCACTAGCTTGTTATCATGAACATTTTCACATTAAATTACCAAATCCACCCTCTAACTCATAGCTAATTGCTTTGGGTCTGTATAATTCTCAAATTTGTCCATGAAAACATTGCATGTTCAATTAATAAAAATCTAAGCCTGGCAAATAAAGGACTAGAAAAACAATCTTCTTTGGAAAAAGTAATTAATGAATGTTTGAGAAATAAATTATGATAGTAGTGTTCTTGTTTATGCACGATAATGTGTCAAAAAATGAAAGAGTGCAGAAAAAAAGTTGTGATACTCTGGGAAATAATTCTGTGAATTAAATTACAGTGCTGTTTTTCCTGGATGCAAATTTTGATAAATTATCATTAAAAATCTTAATGTCAAGTATAATTATTTCCTTGTTTTATCTATCAATATAAATGAACATATTAATAAATGGATAAAGAGGTAGAAATTTTATCAAAAGCTCAAAATCACAGATTATTTTTTTCTCCCATCTTGGGGACTATCTTGCTCTTCCTTTTTTCTAGGTACTATTTTTTTTAAATTGAAACATTATTTGAGGTAGAAATTTATATTCTTTCACATAGACTTTTGCAACTTCTAAAATGTTTTAAATGACTTATAGTACTTTAAATAAGGAAACGCTTTTAGAAAAAAATAACGCAGATATTTGGTAGTTCCAAGTTCCCTGGATTTCTAATTTACAAAATCTACCAGAATTACAGGTTAGGTTTAAAAGACACTTAAAGTTCATACTTGAAAATTATATCTATTTGAGATAACGACAATAGTTACCCAACAATAAGTTCAGAAAAAAAGATTTAAAAAAATAGATTTAAGACAAATTTGTTTATTTTGCTGAAAAAACATAGATTTAAAATATACGATATTCTATTAAAAAACTAAAGACAATACAAAAAATTTTATACCCGAATATGAACATTACTAATATAGATGTTTAACCAGAATGTATATATCCTAATTCTAACAAACTGCATCATCATACATTTTAGGAAGCAGTTTTTTTATTTATAGGTAACAGATTCCAATATGTTGCTTTGTCCACATATTCTTCACTTAGAAAGATTAAGGAACACACTGCATATAAGAATACCTCTTTATACAGTATTATCAAATAAAAATTCAGATGATTGATTTAAAATTGATTTTTAATTCAAAAATAAATTGAAAATTTAAGAATTTAAAAATATTTAATACAAAAACAATATCATAATTCATTAAACTTATAAATTTAAAAACACACACATTTGATGACTTACTTGAAGAATTTTTATCGGATCTTCTTGGAGTTTTTCCTGCTCTTTAATGGCTGCATACTCTCTTTCATACTTCTTAAGTTTTTTAACCTTAATGTAATATCAAATAAGACTATAAGTTTTGGGTAAATTAATTGTATAATTTTACATAAATACAATAATTTCTTAAAAGTAATGCATAGACTAGATAAATAAACACAGAATATCTTTTATAAATAGAATTAAAAATTAGAAAATAAAGTAAAAAGAAGCCTTACTTTAATTTTAGTTGCATTTTGAATTAAAATTTTTGATGAATCCTCTGTTCTGTATTTCTTAGGTAGTGTGACGCGAAAATGCTTAAGAATGCCTTCAAAATCAAGAGCAAGCAGTTCCTTTTGAGACAGCTATAGAAAAGCAAAACAATAATTAAATTTTCTTTAGATTAGACAATACTGATAAAATAATTCCCAATTACATAATCAAATATAACCAGACTTCTATGCACTGATATATATTTGATGCATGCTGAGAGAAAAAATTATGTTTTAAAATTACATTAAGGAAAATTTAACTATTGCATAGTAAAATCACTATAACTCATGATTTCAGATTCTAAAGTAAAGAAAACTGGGTATTTATTCATCCGGAAAATTGAATACAATAATTTTTTGGCGGTAGATATGCGAGGAAAGCTCCATTTTTTGTTTCTCTCAGGTAAGTTGCGTACATTGCATCATTTAGGTAAAATGGTGTCTTGAAAATGAAGTTCATTTATAATAGCAGGGCAACAACTTTTTCACCTACTTGAGCAGCATTATGTGAATGTGAAATTTTTTTTCTACTTAAAATTACTCTGTAAATCTATGATATATTTCTTTGATCTATATTTTAACAAATCTTTTGATCTATATTGGCATCTTTGATCTCTTTTTATCTACATTTTTACTGCTTGGTTTTTACAGATGGGCTGACTTGGTGGAGTCTGATTTTCTTGCAATTAATGAAAAGAATTGGAGATCAATGATAAATCGGAAGACGCTGTGGAAAAATCTTCAGAGGAAGGCATTGGTCCACATTGGGCGGTCTGGCCAACTATGATGATGATATTTTAACAAATATTTGTTAGCTGGCACTTTTTTATCTTGGCAAACAATATTTTTTGACATACCTTAAACCAGATGTACCAAATAATATTAAATTAGCATGATTAAGTTGCAAATTATGCAGCACAAAAAATATTTAATTGCCACTTAATATTATTTATAATTTTACATTTAAAAAAATGCAGCCATTTTGCTAGCCATTCTTACTATTTTCAGCAAACTACTCATTTGATGCATTTATTCAAGATTTGTAAAATGGTGTCAAGTGGGGATTTTTATAACCGACCTACTCAAAGGAAGGTTAATTTAACTCTAGAAATATTCTTAAGTTCAAATAAACCAAATGAATAATATGGTTGAAACTAAATTATTAGTATGATGATGGATAAATGATGAGTAACATAATAAATCAAAATTAAGGTAGATAACAAAAACCTAGTATTACTCACTGATAACAATGCAATAGCAACTTGGAAGATGACGTCCATTCCCTAAAAGTAGTAAAATAAATAGCAGGCATAAATAAGTTCAGTTTTTCATCAATAATTTTATACAACAATTTAAGAACATTCTAGACATCCATTTTGCTTATTATTTGAGCATATTTAAAATATTTTCTTCTTAGTTACATAGTGTTGCACTTAATTTGCATAATAATATTTGAATATAACAACAAAATTTGTGAAAACATGTTGAGAATTTTCCTATATTCATTTCAAACCACTCATTTTATTTCATTATAAACCACTAACATATTTTAGCAAGTCCTTAAAATATGCTGATATCAGTGAAGGAAGGCACAATCTTTGAATCTTTTCAATGACAATCTTTGGGTGTTTTGTAATCAAGGAAGGTTCCAAGAGCATATGGTAACAGAGTGTTGACAAATAACCTTAAAAAATTTTTACAACGATAAGAGCTAAACAGAATGACAAGAAGATATTAAATGAGTATTAGAGATTTATTGATTTTGTTAATACAGTCAGACCCTGCTATAGAGAACATGGTTTATAGTGAACTCCCAGATATAGTGAACGAAATGTTCGCTACTGTGCCTTGCTATACACAAATATTATTTTCTATGGATATAGTAAACCATAAGAAGAAAGGAAATTGGTACTTATGAACTTTTTTCTATCTTCGACAGATTTCGTTTCCTTATTTTTCGGTAATACTGAAATTTCTACATAAAAATACATATACCGATTTTTAAAACTATCTATTGAGTGGAATGTAACCGTAAGCATTTTTTCTTGTCTGCTTCTTCCATCTCAGTTTCCCATCTCTAAATTTATTGTACACAAGACGAAGAGTAATTAAATATAAAAGTTAACACATTTTTGCTACTACATATCGCTTAATAATATTTTTTATTTCTTTTCATGGGTCATTTATTTAAATAATGTGTAATAAAGAGGAACAGTTCATAAAAATTAACTAAAATTGTTTGTAGTACTGATATAATGAACTCCCGGTTATAGTGAACCGAAATTTCGATCCCTCGAAGGTCCACTATAACGGGATTTGACTGTATAAAGATTGTGAACGATAAATATAGGCAAGGCATAATTCTTCTATTGTCATTGTCTTAAAAATTTACTTAAATTAACTAAATTGCCTCTCAAGCTCATCAAAAAGTATATTAGATTAAAAAAAACAACTTTTTTCAAATACCATACATTATATTTAACGTTTTGTTATCATTTAGGTACTCCAAATTTGCCTTTCCACCAATGGGGTTTTGACATCTATTATCTAAAATATACATTGATACACATTTTAACACATTTTTTTTTTTAACATTACTTATCTTAAAATCTGTAATAAAAGTTTAAATTTTTAAAAATAATTTGATAATATAGAGAAAAAAAAGCTGCAATACTTACTTCAAGCAAGAAAACATCAATTATAAAGAAGACTGTAATTAAAGGAAATTTAGCTGTGAAAAGAGTTAAAAACCACTGAGATGCAAACATATGGACTTCGATTCCAAGATCTTCAAAATGAGATAATAAACCTGGCAAATGATCCTTAAAAAAAGAAAAAAAACTGTGCAAAACAAAGTACAGATCAGACATGAAACTGCAATATATTTTTTAACTCTTAAATAATTAATATGAAATAACACTATCATGTCAGAATAAACTGATAACTAGTAATTGGTAATAATTATAACTGCCTTATAGATAAATTTTTTCCATAATCTAAATCAAAAGAAATTATAGCACCAAAATATGAAAATATAATGATTAAAAATAGCACAATTTGAAGAAAAGAAATTATACTAAAATGCAAACAAACTTTTTAATAACAATAATTAATTTCACAAATACATTTAGAAAATAAATAAAATCCTACAGGCTTAATTTATACCTCCATTAATCTTTTCAATTGAAAAAATTTGAGATGTAATTCTTCAAATCCATTTCGGAACATGTTACGAGTTTGATACTCAAACATAATTTTCATCATTACTCCAAAAGCTTGTTCCTCAGGCATCTGCAACAAGAATTGAAATTAAATAAAGATAATTAAAAACACAAAATAATATTTTTTATCAGAGTATAATGATGTATTTGATTGTCTTTTTCTAGAAATTTAAACACACTGAAAATCCAGTTTCTTGTTTGTCCACAATAAGATTTTCAAAGGTAAATATTTTTAACTTTATATTATAGCTAAAACGAAAAAAATATCGCTCTAGATATAAAAACAAGTTTCCTAAAATTTCAAAAGTCATATATAAATATATATACATATATATACATATATATATATATACATATATATATATATACATATATATATGTATATATATATACAGTCAAATCTCGCTATAGTGAACACCCGGATATAGTGAACGAAATGTTCAGTCCAGTGCCTTGCTATACATGTATAATGATATTTTTTGTGGATATAGTGAACCAAAAAAGTGAGAAAGTTGGATATAGGGAACTTTTTTTGTCTTCGATTGATTTTTTTCTTCATTTTCTTTGTAATAATATTGAAATTTCTACTTCAAAATAAATACATATACTAATGTTTAAAACCATCTATAGAGGAGAATGTAGCGATAAGCATTTTTCCTTGTTTGCTTCTTTTATCTCTCTTTCCAATCCCTAAACAAACCAAGCAGATGCTTCCAACCAAGGCAGACGATGCACCTGTAAGGTGTCAGTGGGATTAATATGCATTTTCTGTCAGAGGGAATTAGTAATTATTCGTTATTGGTCAAAGGGTTAGACACAAATATGTGTTGATACGGCCCTCATTTTTGCTCTCAGTTCAGTTAAAAAAAGTCTGCAAACAAGTGTCTCAAATTTAAATATGGCGACCAGTAAACGTAAAACGTTCTCTATTGATGATAAAATGGGCATAATCAGAAAAATTGAAAATGGATGCAATCAAGTTGATATTTGCAGGGAATATAAACTATCAAATCTGCAGTTTATAACATATGGAAAAATACACTAGTAATAATTTCTGCTCATGAAAAAAAATTTAGAAGGCGGAAAAAAGTTGAGAAAAGGATGTTGATCGGAAAGGATCACAAGGATGTTGATGAAGCATTACTGAAGGGGTTCACCATTCAAAGAAGCCGCAATCTTCCAGTATCTGGACAAATGTCGATGAATTTGCTAAGCGATTTGATGAGACTACTTTTATGTGCTCGAATGGCAGGTTAGACAGGTTTAAAAAGCGGAATAACAGAAATTCAGGAAAAATTATCTGAGAGTCAGGAAGTGTTTCCATATCTGATGTTGAGGATTGCTCATCAGCTAACAGTTAATTTTTTTTGCAAGCAAGACGAAGAGTAATGAAAAATAACACATTTTTTGCTACTACATAATATTTTTCAGTCATTTATTTGAATAATTTGTAATGAAAGGGAGGAGTTTGGGAACTTCCATTAGTTAAATTGCCTGCGTAATGGATATAGTGAACTCCCGAAATTTCTGTCCCTTGATGGTTCACTATAGCGGGGTTTGACTGTGTGTGTGTATATATATATGCATGTATTAAGAATTTAGGTATCAATGAATATATGTGTATACACTTAAAAGTTCTGTAACATTAAAAAAAATAATAATAATTATAATCACATCACTATTCAATAAATACATCATAAATTTCATTTAAAATCTGCAATGAAAATTAACTGATTTCAGAAAACATTTTTATTATCTTTTGATATTAAATAAAATAAATTGATAGGAATAGTAAATAACACATTTATTAATTAAAATAATTTCCAAAAATAGCACTCATGAAATTTAGGCTACATAAATTTTAATAAGGTATGCTTTGTAACACAAAATACTTTTAATGTCCAATAGATTAAACATACTCGCAATAAAGTTTTAAGTGAACACTATACAGCTAAACACTCTAGGATTTTCCAGATTTGATAACAAGTTTCCTTTAAAATATCTGATTTTCCAATGTCGTTTTCAAATTACAGATTTTCTCTATTTCCAGATGGTGTAGCCACCAAAAAAGAGTTTGTGGAGCATTGGATGAAACAAATTTTCAAATATTTAAAAGAAACAGCAAAACGAGCATTAAAAAAAAGACAGCACATTCAGTATTGCCAAGTGCCAATAAACAACCAAACGTACATTACATTGATTTTTTTTATTAAACTCTTCCTATCAGCTCTAATTATTTTATTCGTGCGGGTCAGTGTTTTCACTACAGAGCAAAAAAGCGAGAATCTCGCATATTTCTTTCTTTTCTCGCATTAAAAAATTATTACCGTGCTAAATTCGCGCACTCTATAATTCAATTTCAAAATGCACGAATCTCGCGCAATTTGGAAAAAGTTTAGTCTCCAGCCATTTTAAATAAAATCTGTTTCACTTTTCTACCTTGATCTTTCATTATTTTCAACATTCTTTTGCTGGCAGATGTAGAGGAAAATGTGTGCACAATGCTGCAAATTTACTTAGTGAGTCCGAAAAGTTCAGCATCTGTTGAAAGGTCTTTTAGCACCCAAAACCGAATTAAGACAAAATATTGTAACAGATTGACTGATAAGCATTAGAGCAACCTAATGAGAATAGCTGATTAAAAAATAGATATAGAACATTTTCCATATGATGATGCAGCAAAAATATTCAATGCTTTAAAAAATAGAAGATGAGATGTTAAATATTATAATTAAAGAAATAATTTTTTTCAGAGTCTATTTGTGTTTTTTTAATTTTGAGAAATCTCACTTAACTTTTTGAAATCTCACCCTGTTTTTGAGGAAGGGTGAGAAATTCTCTCCCATTTTTTTTCTGTAATGAAAACACTGCGAGTGCACAATAGATCTACCTCCTTACAGTGCAGCTGTTAACACTTTTTAGGGGCTAAAAAGATCTACATTATGGCATTATGTCTCCCTCCCCTCAGTTTGATACTCTTTGAGTGGAACGCCGGTGGACTGTCCCAATTCAAGATTTTGCAGACTCCGTGTGATGTCTTTACTATTATGGAGGCTAATTTGACTATCTTTTTAAAGGACATACACTTGAAAAATCTAGACATGTTGCCAGTGGCATATTGATCAGAGTAAAGAGAGAATTAACAGCTGATTTATGCATCATAAAAGCGATAGGGGTCGATAGAGATAAAAGTAAGTCCCATATTTGGATGTCTGGAAAAGTGGAGCTTATTTTAAAATATTTTCTATATACAGCCCTCCTATTAACCATCCTGACTTTTTCTATGTTAACCACCTAAAACATTCAATTTTTAGAGGTGATTTTAATGCTCATTCTCCCTTTCGGAGATATAAAAACAAAATCTTTCGGGAAAATCAGAAGAGTTGGCTCCTATGTATATACACGCAGCTGTAAACAAATGGAATACGTCTTTTTCACTGTTTCTTTATACTATCTGATCTATAAAGTGTTACTGTTAAATCAGCCAGTCATGTATAAATAAACCCGTAAAAACAGCCAATAAATTTTCTGAAAAATATTCTAATCATTTTAAGTAATTTAAATTTATCCTTGAATAATTTCTTCAAAATTAAATGCACTATATTTTCATATGTTTCATTTACTATATTTTCATTTTGTAATGCATAATTTCATATGCATTACAATGCATTATTATTAGAAAACTTTTATTTAAAATAAAACTAACACTAACAATAAAATTTGACTAATAAATCGATATATTTCCAAGGATATTGTTAAAAAAAACTCACATTTATGTATAAAAATGAAAATAATCAAGAGAATAGTTTTCAAACTAATGATTTACTTACATGTAATAAGAGAGCTGCAACAAGAAAGGAAAGGCCTTGACAGTATCCTATTTCAGGATCATAAATGGAATATGCCTATAAAAATAGATTGACCACATTAAATATACATTAGGTAAGAACTTATGTTTCTAATCATTTATCATAATGTTAATACCAGACTAAGGCAGAACACTGTTCCGTAAAGATTTGGTGGTAGAACAACATTCCGGTTTGAATTTATCATAGGAAGGCAAAAGCAGTCGAATTAAAATTTAAAATTGTCAGACCTGCGTGCTAATGTTATTCAGGTTCTATTTGCCAAATGTTTAATTCTTTTTTTAAAGTAAAAAAATAAATAAAACTATGCTATTTATTAATTGAAGATTTAGGCATTTATGCGATTATTTTATTATCATTTCAGTTTTACTCATAAGAAATGAAACAAAAGGCAAGGTTTTAGACTAAATAAAGATAGCATTACCTATAAATAAATGACAGGTATTTTCAACCAAAAATAAGCTAACTGAATTAAATATTTTGAATATCAGTGTTCATTCAATATTCTTAATAATTCAATATTCTTAATAATTCAATATTTTAAAGAATTGAATTCAAAATTTCAGAAACTTCCCTCAGAAGTGGAATTCATTTATGACATTTTGATGCAAGAGACCAAAAAATAATCTGAACTTAATTTGCGGTTAGTAATTCCAATAAACCTATAGTTTGTGTAAAGTAAGAACTCCCCTAGCCATTCATCTGGACCTGTGTGGTGACTATGGTAACGAGGTATAACTATTTCAAGTAGAGGTGTGGGGTTATTGTATAGGACAGATATAGAGGTTGGCAAAAGAAAGAGAATCTTCGTTCTACTCTGCCAAGTCCTAGAGTGAAGAGAAGCTACCCTCCCTGAAATGCACTATTCTTGTTTCCATAGCAGCAGATGGTCTCAGACTTTGTGGCAGGGGAGTTCTTACCGTAGCCAAACTATAGTTATAAAAATAGGTGCAACCAAACAAAAGTATGAATGAAATGCTTACTTTACAAATTTTATATAAAGATTCTTGACCACTACCATTTCTCTCACTGAATAATTCATGTGCTGGAAATGTCCTGTAGATGTCTCTTTGAATTATGCTTTCAAATGAGCTATCCTGCAACAATTGCAATAAAAATATATACAAAATTATAAAAAAAATTATGCTTTGTTATTTTATTTTATGTTATATTATTTTATGCTGAAATATGTCATTTGTCCACAATGAAAAAGAATAAAATTTTACAGAAAAATTATTTTTAAAAAAATCCTCTAAAGTACTTAACATTTGTTAATTATAGTAAAAAGAAATGACTAAGCACAAATTTTGGAAACCTATTTTATTATTTTTATTCCTTAAAAGATTTTTTTTAATCAAACAAGTCCATGAAATGTAAGAGAGCATACTTGGACAATCAGTTATAAAAAAAAACAGACATACTTACACGCATATACAATCTTTAAAAAAAGGCAAGAAGTTTGGGTGATCAACATTTTTTACATAAGTTTTCAATCAATTTGTAAAAGGCATTTTGGTCTCCCTGTGGGGTTTTTTTCTGTAAAGTTTGTTTCTTTTGTTCTTAATCAAGCTAACATACATGCTACATCGGTATAATTAATCTTCATGCTAATTAATCACAAATGTAACCTTTAGATACATTTTAATCATTGCACATAACTCAGCAAAATATTCTTTTATTTATTATATATACTGAGTCATGTAAGAACAAAACAACAAAAACTAATGTCAATACAGGGTATCTGCTACATTTTAGGTTTTCAAATCCATGACTAATTCCAAGAATTTTTCATGACGTAATGAAGTTACTATTTTCTCTCATAAAAACGCAACAATAAATTTAAAAGAGTATTATAATAACATTAATTGTAATGATAGGTATAACTAAAACTGTTATACTCTGCATCTTCATGCTTATACATCTTAAATTTAAAAAGCAGAGTAAAGAAAGAGTTGAAGCAATAAAACAGCTGAAAAAAATACAAAAGCAAATAATTTTTTTTTCTGCAGAATTATAAAGATACTTTTCTTGTCCATCGAAAATGAAAGAAATACTCCTGATTTTTCTGTTCTCAATTCAGAATTTTTAAAAATTTGCCAATGACTAGCTTGTTTCAGCTAGAATTTTAAATTGATACAATAAAAAATAAGTAATAACAAAAATTCTGAAATCACAGAAGTTTAAAAGACTATTCGTTCCAGAAATGAAGTTTTTTCTTTCATTCTTTTGAAAGAACACCATAATTATTAAAGAACATGATAAAAAAATTTATATTTTAATAAAATATGACTGAGAGGGGGGATTTTGTTACAAACTCAGATATTCGTAACATCATGAAATTGGGGAGAAGGGTAAATTCCATTTTAAAATTAAGATTTTTAGTCGACCTAATCCCATGACTTTTCATGATATTTTTTTTAAAAAATAGTTAAAATCATGACATTTTATGACAAATGTCATGATTCGGTATTGATCAAAAAATTTTGTTCAATACCGAAATTCATGACTTTCCATGATTTTTCATGACTTTCTATGATGCATGTAAAATATATCTTGTCAAATCAGTCTCGCCATTTANAAAAAAATGCATGTTTATTCAGAGAAAGTACGTTTTTGTGTCTGATTTCGTAACTTAATTAATAGTTAGCACTAATTAATTAGCATATTTGAGGTCACCCCCAGGAACCATTAAGATTGACACTTAGTTCGTGAAAATCGGATCATTAGAACGAAAGTTATTCAGGGTGATATCTTTTTTTTTTGCGGACTGTACAAACACCACTATACATTTAATAGCTGACTGATATGAAATTTGTGTTTGATTTAAAGTAACTTTCAAAGTGTTGACTTTGCTTCTTTGTAGATAAGCACAGAAAGCAAGTTCAGAAAATAGAATTAACGTTATTTTACTGTAATCCAAACCAACAATCTATGATATTGAATCAGACCAAAATTTTTTGTATATTTGCATGGTAGTGGAAAATTAATTACTTATTACATAAAGGATAAAGTAGGTTGAACTCCGACCCACCCCAGGGGGGTATACGGAGATTTTATTACATATTACAATAAAAACCAATCGCATTTAAATGATTAAATATGCAGTCAAAAGATATCTAAAAATTAGATAGCAGAAAAAAAATTATATGCATCTTTATAGAAAGTATAATTGGAAAAAAAAAACATTAAAAAATTTAAAATTGTAGATCCAAGCTGTTTCTAAGGAAATACTTTTCAACCCTCGGAAGTAAAATTTTTATCAAACATATAAATATTCCACGAATAAAATACTAGAATCTAACCTTATTGATAAGAGATTTGTATGTTTCTATCAAATCTCTCTGATCATGACACCCAGCAAGAAGCTGCCAAACTTCACCACGAAGAGCTTCCGGAATACCCCTTCGTACGAGACTAGTGAGTGATTTGGGTCTGAGAGATAAGTTTTGTCGCCATTTCAAAAGAACTTCTGACCAACCTTCAAGCTGGGTTCTTGTACAGTCTTTGCTTACTCCACCAGTGCCACTCAATAAAGGTTCATCATTGTCTAATGAATAAATTCTGAGTTGAACAAAAATTGATGCATATAATTTAATAGTAAACAAGAGTTATTTAATGTGTAACATTTGAGTATTTGAAATTTTGATTGGATATATTTAGAGAAAGTAGAAAAATACATTTTGGGAAATTTATATCGAATTCTTCATGACTCAGCAAATAGGCAAAATTGGGAGAATATTTCTCCCCTATACATTATTCCCTTATCTATTAACATGGAAAAACCGGTTTTGCTATGTAGTTGATGTCAGATACACTACAGGTTAAAATATGATTTTTTACGTGCAAAACCGTCAGTGGGTTAAAAAACTTTCAAAATAAACTTGTGATTTTCATCATCAATCATACATGCAAATACTTATCATAGTTATTAAAATATACTGCAAACAGAATTTGCAACATTTCATAACGAATTTTTTAATACTGTAGTTAACCAAGTATATTATGTCAGATACACTGCTGAAAAGTTTTTTTTTTTTTAACATTTAATAAAAAATATTTAATATTTCAAGATATTGATGAAATTCAAAGCATGCTTTAAAAAGTTAAGATTTATTTATACAGAGAATAAAATAATATCAATCTAGGCTAAATTAAATAACTGATCATTATATCTATTCATTTGAAGATTTAAAAAAATCAATTTAGACTAAACAATTAATAATTAATACTAACTCAATTTAAAATTTTCAATGAAACACCTACTTCAAATTAATATCAAAATCAGATCGATAAATATTGAATTGAACAAATTGATAAATATGCATAAATAAAACACAAAAACTATTAAAATTAAATCATCATAAAATATGATATTTTAAACTGGGAAAAAAAATTATTGTCCATGTCCATGACATTTTGATCTTTAAATAAAAAGTAAAAAAACATTATTTATGCAATGACATTTTGATCTTTAAATAAAAAGTAAAAAAACATTATTTATGTAATGAAAATAAAATTAAGGAGATAATTTACTTAAAACAATTTAAGTTTAAGTTAATAAAAAAATTAGAAGATTTCAAATTAAACTTGAATGAATAAAAAAAAATATAAAAAATAGTAAGAATAACATTGGAAAACAATTACCTTTTTGTTTCTGTTGCATGAGATTTTTTTTAACAGATCTTAGATCCTTTTGTATAGCTGATACGCAATCTGCAATCCGTTTCTCTCATCCAGCAAGTTTTTTTTAATATTTTCAGTCAATTTTTTCACCAAAATGAATAAGTTTAAAAACGTTACACAGAATAGGGGTCGAGCAAATGTTGTGACACACTTTTAGAGAAGTTTGGGCACATCAAGATTAGAATTGATTGCGTAGGAAACAAAGCCCGGAAATGTCCTCCGACTTGGCTAGGGGCCATTCTCTATTATAACCGGTTCAGAAACACAGGAAGAAACAGTTCATAATAGGGAATGGCCCCTAGCAGCGCATGACAACAGTTCCGATCACGGGTTTCTATGCAAATTTAGTCCTGAAGATGTCTCTTAACCTCCCTAAAAGTTAGTCGTAACATTTACGTGACCTGTTATATATAATATTTTTAAACTTGCATCTTTTGACAAAAAATAGATTTAAAATGTCAATTTAAAAAATTAGTAGTTTTAGGAGCAAAACTAATTTCAGATTTGAAATATCCACACCCGAATGAGTCTAGATCAAATATTTGTATAAATGCAACAAAAAATTTGTTCTCCAGTATAATTAATCGAAAACAACTTAGTAAAATATTTCGTTAAAGTAAAAACTTGAAGAGAAAAGAAAAAGAATTATGTTTGAAATAAAATACTTACCAGAAACTGAATCAGGCTCATCAGGACTAGATGGTGTAGTAATATTAAGTGACTTAGTGACTGTGTTTAAGAAATTTAAATTGAGTGAGGCTTTTTTATTTTGCAGTTTAGATGAACTAGTAACACCAACCACTTGTAAGGTATACTCTCCAGTTTGATCTTCATCCACCTATATGTGTTGAAAGAGTACTATGACACACAGATAGGAACTGCATATCAACAAATACAGTTTTTAGAATAGTATTTTACATTTTAATTTCAATTTTAAAAGGTGTTTCTCAACATTTATGGTCCTTTCACTACTATACCACGAATTACAGAATACCACGAATTACAGAATACCACGAATTACAGAATTACAAACTTCTTGAACATGTTTGTGATCCTCATTTTTTAACATAAGTATTAAAAAGTATGCCATCAATTACTTAACTACAAATTACAGGACTAAAAACTTTTAATTTATTTATAAACTGATCAACTCATTTATCTGAGACTTATTAATTTAGAACTGCCTGAGTTTAAATTAGTTCTGCATAACAAAACATGAAAGTAAACATAAAAGAATGATATTTACTTCTCTCAGTTTCAAGTAAAACTGTTCATAAAGAGTCTTTTTAGAAAAGTACCAAAAACGCTCAGTGGGTGGGAATATTTTAGCTTTTGTTTCAATCACAAACCTGACAGGTTCTTGAATACCACAAATCACTAGATCAGCTGCTACTGTCATATACACTCTAGTATCTGAAAAACAACATTTAAAAGTGATCAAACAAATACATGATACTAAAATACATAAATCTTAAATAACAGGCAAATAAAAGATGTCAATATATTAATATTACGCATAATGAAATGTTTTTTCGACATTTCAATAATAGAAATGGAAGATAGTAACGTTTTCTCATCTAGATTATTTCAAAAATGGGGAAAACACTCACTTTTTATTCATGATTTTTTTCAATATGTTGATTGTCGGTATATTGATAGTTATTGCCGCACTCACTGAAGCAAAGACTTAATGATAGAGCACAACTCTTCCCATGCGAATGCGTGACCAACTAATTACTAAGATGTTGCTCCATATTCTGCCCTCCTAACTGATAGGTTCTTGTGCATTTTCAGCAAAATGAGATATCCAGCAAAAGTGTTAAAATATTATAAGTTTTTCCTTTATTGTCCTTCTATTCTTAGTTACGATTTTCTATAAATAAACTAATTCAATTTTTGACTGAACAGTTTTTCTTTTATTTTCCATTAAATAATAAATAAACCTTAAAAAAGGATTAACTAGCTGCAAAAGTAAAGAATAAGTATACGTTCTCTACTTATGTAATTGACCAATCTCTAATCAGTAATTGCTCCAAAAAAAAAGTTTGTTTAATGGCATGGAAAAAACAATGAAAAAGGATGTCATGTTAAAGGTAAAAAAAAAAGATTTAAGAGATAGTCAACAGAGTTAAATGGTCATTATATCAAGCTTTATCATAAATATTATGAAAGCTAATTTTATCTCTGTAAATAACTGAAACTGTTAAATGACATTTAATTGAATGACTTTAAGGTATATTTTAATCATAAAGCAAGAAATGAAACAGCCATTAATTTTCTAATATTAAGTATATGATTTCCTTTCAGAGAAATCAAGCATTTCATTTCCTGATTTATGTTCGTAAACCTTCCCCTAACATATCAGTTTGGTAGGGTTGTCCAAGTCACACTCAGGCTACATATTCTTGGGTATCTAACAATACATACAAACAAACTTTTATGAAGAAAAAATTCATCGTTTAAAAAATAAGAAAATTCATTCATTATGAATAAATTTTTTCAAAACACATCAACACTATATTAACACCATTTTTTTTTAATATGATGCATAACTTACTGTATTGAAATTATATCTATATAAACCAAAAGTAAGAACTATAATAAACCATTGTAAAAACAAATTGAATAATAGATTTAAATTTATGAGGTTACAATGTTAAATGAAACAACTTAAGCGTCAAATCAAAAATATATGAAAGTTTTTAAACCTTTTGGTGTCTCTGTGTTAAGAATCTCAAATGCAGGTTCATTTGGATCCCATAATCCAGAGATAGTGTACAAAGATTTCTCTCCTATTGCTGGTTTATTAAATGATACCTAAAAACATACAACTGTATCACAAATTGTATCACAATAAAAAAAATTAAGAAACATAAAACAGCAAATAACAATACAGTAAACCCAAGTTTATTTAATCTGCTGAGTAAAATGAAGAAAAACATAATGTATGAAAGATTAAAAATAAAATAAACATTGATGGCAATAGCATTTACAGTATTTTTCTCTTTAATTTTCCTATTGTGTTTCAATATCAGGTGAATGATGTCATTTTAATGTTCTTTTTCAATGTAATTCTTTAAATTACACAAGCATTAGACAAGTTAACTTATAAATTACACAAGCAAATTGTGATTACTTTATCATGTAAACTTTAACTTTTCATGTAAAGTAAGACATTTGAACAACATATAGGTTATGCCAATACAGATACTTTTCATTGTCATCATATCCCTTTGGTGACCCTTTCATAGATATTTCTTTCTGAGGCTCTAGTTACAAATAAAAATATATTCTATAAATAAAAATATATTAATTATAAAATTATATTAACTATAAAAACATATTAATTATAAAAATATATTACCTATAAAAACATATTAATTATAAAAATATATTAATAACACAAAACAGACTGACAGTTACTAGAAAATATGCTAAATTTTTGGAATAATATTTGTTCTAAAACATAAAATCCAAAAGTAGTAGTTTGAATTTTTTTCCCCATTCATTCTCAAAATTTTACCAACTATTGATTTAGTATGTAAAAAAAAAATTCCATCATGAATTACTGTTTCTCTTAGATTTAAATAAATACTAATTTGAAAAGTTATTGTTTGAAATTTTTTTTTCTTTAATGCAAAACTGGACAGATTAGTCTGATATTGTATTTCATAAGCAAAATTAATTAAAATGCTAACTACAATATTTTCCACTTATTTTTACCTAAATTAACACAAAATGTGAATGAAATAAAAATATGTTGAATGAAAATTCTGCATCAAAGTGATTATTCAGCATATTTTTGTAAGTGCTATTAAGACTCAAAGTGCTAAAATTTCTGAATTTTATAAATTATTGACACAATCCACAATATCTCGACCAATCCCCAATATCTTTTATTTGTGAAACCAATAACTATTTTTAACACACTATGATGTTTGAGTATGTACTTCAACTGAGATTTCTTAGGACACATATGAATGAGTGAATTTTTATTTGTTTTAAAATATAACTGATTCCTCACAATAGGAAAATTTACAATAAAAAAGTTTATAAAACATTTCAAGGCTGTATTTAATTAAAGGATGAACTTTTAATTTATAAACAGCTAACAATGTCACACTTATGAGCCATTCTTACCATCTCTATTAGCTGCATGTCACTGTTACGCACATTCCTTCCTGGAGAGATTAACAGACCGAAGCACCTAAAAATTAATGTTGGAATAATTACAGATCATAACAAAAAACTAATAAATAAAGATTGACACAAGAAAAACCCACCTTTCAATAATGAGTTCTTTATTATCAGAAACTTGCTGAACTGTCAGAGTGACACTCTTTTCAAGTTTACTACGTAATTTAAAATAATCTTTATCCTTAGGGCAGGATGAATAACCACCCTTTAACAAAAAATAATAAGTACTTATATTTGTAAGTTGTGAATGAAAAAGTACTTACAACTAATAATATGATATACATATAAGAAAAAGTTGCAAAGGCAAATTCAAATTAGTTATAAGTTAACAAAGTTATTTATCAGGCTCAAAATGCAAGAATAAACAGGGGTGAATAATGGTAGGTACAAGATTAAGCAAATATGCATACATAAATGAAATGGCATTTACTTTATTTGTAACTTGGAACTGAATAAAAAAAGAAATTATGTATTAAATGTCATCAGACTAAACTAATAACTGACGTAATATGAAGATTGGTTACACACTAACTCAGTGTTACACACACCCTCACAACAATAGTTCAATTTTCCTGTTGATAAACAATAAATTTATCATTTCTCTGTCAACACAGCAATGAAATCATAAAATCTGTAACCTACATACCTTATTCTTCATGAATTAACTATGAGGGAGTTCAGTAATTATAAGTGTTACAATTATTTTTTAATTAAAGAATTATAATTTGGAGTGTTGATTACAAAGCTAATTTGGCAGTAATAGTTTCATTTCAAAATAAATATGTTTTAATTTTTAAATTTTTATATGAAGTTGTCTTTAATGTCAGTTTAAAATTATTATTACTGAAATATTAATTATTTTTAGATGTGAATATTCTATTGTAATTTTCAAGTATGTAAAATATTAAAAAAAAATTTAATAAGAGTTAAGAGAATATTATTATTCCCATGGTCTACTTATTTTTAAAATATGAATAAAGCAATATAAGAAACTTTTTAAATGATAGTGCAATAGATGTGTTAATTGAGAATATTACTTTTGAAACAGTGTTTAAATCTTGAAAAGTAGATTTGTGTGCTATATAAAAAACAGATATAACAAAGATAATACTTCTTTGATAAAGAATTTCTTAATTATTTTAAGAACAATTTTTAATCTAATGATTAGGTTATAAAAATATTTAAAATAACTTCTTTAACCGTTAACAATGCAGAAATCTCAATTCTAATTCTTATATCCAATCTCTCATGAATCTCTATCTCTAATTACTTTCAGAACTGCTTATAACAATTATTATTTTATCTGAAAATTATAAAATTTAGTATAATCTTTAATCATAAAATGTTGAAATCCTAACATACTGGTTAACTTTAATTACTAATGTAATCACAATAAGCTTAGATTTAAGAGGAATTTTAATGAACTAATTAAATTAGAAAAGAAAAACAATTAAAAATATACCTACCCTAGAGTCATCCTCTCTAAATTCTAAGGTGCCTTCAAATATATAAGTGTATAAAGTGGAATTATTTAAAGGATCACTTGAGTTCTTTTCTATGCTAAATGATTCTGACTTAGGAAGGAGTAATTTGGGAACTTTTTTTACAGCTGAAGCAAAGCATTGCATGATTTTTGGTACCTGAATGAAATGTGTAACAATAATAAGGATTTCAAAAAAAAAAGAAAAAAAAAAGGATAGCATATTTTAATAACATATTTCAAACGTATTTTTCAATGTAAAAGGAAGGGTAAGAATTGAATTTGAAAACAGTTAATGAATGGGAAACTAACGCAGAATAAAGCATATTTTCTGATACAGGAATTATATTTTATCTTACAATAAACAGTGTAATTTTATAAAGTTAATCTATTTTTATAATAAATTTAAAATATGATTTTGACATCTTAAAGACGGAATAGAGAAACAAATAATGAACCAGTTTGATCTTATTTTACATTGCGAAATTGCAAGATTGAAGAACTACTATCTTTTTGAAGCTGCAGCAAAAGGGATGCATTTATTTTTGGTACAATGCAAACATATTTAAATGACAACACAGAGGGTGTTTTTAAAACGTTAGAATGGTTAAAACATTTTCTTTAACTAAAAGACAAAGAGAAAAAAAACTGATGGTTTTAAAACTGATAACATTTAAAAATATAAAATTTTTAAGATAATCTCACACTTTGAAATCTTAAATTAAGGAACCTTACTTAAAACAATCAAGAGATTGAAAGGCATCCTTTAAGTTACTAGATTTGAACATTCAAACGTTGATAAAAATAGCCATATATTTGAAACTTTAGTTTCCTAAAATATAAAGCAATATAAAAAGTGAAAAAATTTATAAGCACCGAGCAAGAAAATAAGTTGGTGTGAGAAGTTAAGACGTAGAAGAACTGTATAAAAATGAATTATCTCATGTGAAAGGAAGTGAGTGAACTCAATGAAGAAGTCAACTCATTAAATCATCAAAATCTTATAATGTGAGAAATTTATATTTATACAATTTACTCATTTGTACTGCAATAAAAAAAATGCAAAGCTGAATGTGAAATTTTGCCTAATAACTTCTACTAACTGACTTTAATATACCTAATAACTTTTTTGCATTTATAAAACATTAAAATTTTTTTTTAAAAAACTTAATTACCAAATTTAGAGATAATCAGCAAAATTTTCTTTTTAAAACATTATGTGTCATGCATGCGTTTATTTTAACTAAAGTAAAAATAAGTCTATTTTAAACAAATATTGCATTCATTAAGCATGAAAAAGAATTTTTTTCTTTACTTAATTCAATAACTTACTTTAAATTTGTTTGTTTTGTGAAAGACGACTTCATGAATAGGAAAAAAAATATTCTTTATCTATGAAAATTAAGTGGTAATAAAGAAAACTTTTTCACTATCTAAGAATTCGACAATGGAATATTTTTCTTCCATAAATTATTTGCTTAATGATTAACTTGAGAGGACAAACGGATTTGCTAGGCAGGGAAACCACTCTGCTTAAAAAAGTTGATTTATAAATTAATTCCTTAGTATGATAAATTAATAAAATTTGCTACTTATTTCACTAACTCACTATTAAAATTACTTTGTTTTATAAAAAAAATAATCATTATGGTTTTTTTAAAGAAATACTAAATGCAAAATTTCAAAAAAAAAACGTCGCAAAGGAAAAAAAAATTATTAAACCTCATATTCATAAAGCATGAATAAAAGTATTACTTGATTCATTGAATAATTTTTTTTAATATTATTTTGCTTTATTGGAGAGAGCATTAACATGATTGTTAAAAAAATAATAATAAACTACAAACAATTAATAAAACTAACAATATAAATAAGTTATTGTAAGTTGTGCAAAATTTATAAAACAATAAGTTAACAAGAAAAAAAACTTTAACTAAAAAACTGTTACCATATGTTCCATTCATTGAGTATTAACAAAGAGTGCTACATTTAAAGTTTTGTTGTGTCTTATCTAAAGTAAAATATTATACAGATTATCAGAGTGGATTATAAAAAATATTACCCACTAGAATCATTTTAATACTATTGCAATACTATGCAAGATAAAATAGACAAGACTTACTGCTTCAGGGATTTCACAACGAAAGACATGGCATTGAAAAATTGTTGATTCTGGTATTGTTCCTAAACTACATTTGTGCACCAAAGATAAGCAATTTGAATCTTTAGAGCGTATTTCTCCAGCAAGTGGGGTAACAATTTGTAGAATTGGGAAACTTGCTATTTCATTAGAAGAGCTAGGTTCATACAAGCTAAAAGAAAAGAAGAAAAAATCAAATTTGTATAAAAATAATATTATAAAAGTAGTATACTTCTAATTCTGATTATCTGTAAAATCAGGTGATTTAGTAACAATGGATAAGTGATTTTCAAGGATAATGCAGAAAAAAGTTTAGAAACAGTCAACAATTTTTGTTAATTTATCGCAAATAGAAACTCTTATAAAAAAATATATTGCAGAAATAAGAATTAGTATGGATGGTGTTTTCCGTAGAAATGTAAACAATAACAATCTCGAGCTGTATGCCTGCTCTAGTTCCAGGTTAGAAAGTTTGCAGCTGCTTACAGCATGTTATTCTGCGAGGCGATATTTTCAAACGGATAGTTATGTTTTCAATAAAAGAAATAAATTAGATAATTTCTGAGCACAAATCTGCCATATTTCATAAGATATTAATGTTATTATGTAATTCTGGTGAGTTTGAAGTGAAAATTTGTCTTAGTTATTTAGAGATATGTTGTTAAAAAAGGTGACATACTAGACTTTGAATAACTCGCTTTTTTGGCAGTCTTGATATGGCCTCTTTCCATAAGTTTACTACTGTTTGTTCTTGTTACAAGCTGTGCACCATCTTACGTTAGTGTTAACACTTTTAGCATTGTAAACACAAGTAATAAGTAATCAAATACATTGTTTGCAAGAATCTCAAAACACAATGATGCCAAATGGCTTTAAAATAAAACGAAAACAGTAACCCGGAAATTTGCTTGCAGCGTTGAACTGAGCTTGCAGCGTTCCCTAGTGTAGAAAACACCATCCATTGAGTATAATATTTCATTGTTATTAAAGTGGTTTACATTAAACTTCTATGTCTGTAGAATCAGGTAATTTAACAACCATCAATGGACATGCGCAATATAGGTCAAAAATTTAGTGTAGGGCAGAACAACAAAATATAGTGGAAATAAGAATGAAGATTAATTATACTATTATTCCACACAAACAAAATTCTATCCACTCAAGATAAATCTGCCCAAGATTTCATACTAGAGCAGGCCCTAAATTCATTGTTTAGGCAAATTTTACATGCTAATTTTTAGCATTGAAAAAAGTAAAAGTGCCTTTTAACTTAGCATTACTTAAAAGATATTGCTATGCTTTAACCTTTTATAAGGCCAGGGTAAGTATACTTACCACCAAATTTGTTAATTTTTAATTGTTGATGGGAAGCTATTTTCCTACTTATGCTTTGATTCAGAAAATGCCCCATTGTTAATAAAACTTTTTTTTTTATTTATCTCTAATTTTTTTTATCTTTATTGTTATTTCTAAACATAATAAAATCTATTAAGGCACTTTGTTTTGCAAATTATTTTAAATAATAGTTTGTAAATAGTGAAAAGTTTGAAAGCAAATTTTAATGTATTAAAATACATTAAAATTTGCTTTCAATTATTTATATATTTATTACATAAAATGAGAAGATATAAATTTTTTTCTAGGAGTTTGAACTAAGAAAGGCATCCATGAGAAGTTCATTGTCAAAAAGTTATTTAACTGGATCCCATTCAAACACTTATAAAGAACAATAAAGCAGGGCCACAACTATAGCGGGGCAGTTGAGGCATTGCCTTTAGGCTCTGACAAAAAAAGTATAAAGAAAGAACTGCTGAAAAGAAATTTTTCAATTTGTAGTCATAAAATTAGATCCCTCTACCCTTGAAATAGAAAGAAAAGAGAAGATTCTTTCTTCCCCAGAAGAGCAATAATGCTGACCAGAGAGGGGTGTAAAAGGTCAAAGGCATTCAGTATAAATTACGTCAGCCTGTTGTAGTTCACAGTTGCTTCATTGATCTATGAGTTTGACCACTAAAAAAGAATACTGTGTGTTATTTTTTAGTTATGTATTATTATGAATTATATATGTCATGTTATTAGTATGTATTATAAATGTATTCATATGTTTATTAAATAAAATAATACATTATGTTTATGTATTATTATATTTACAAATATTGTGAATGAGATTCTTTCCCTTTGAAGTCCTTCCAGGAAAACCATTTGACAGCCCATTGACCATTATCCATGTGATGCCATTTCTAGTTTCTCAAAAGAATATATATATTTCCTTTTATGAGGGGGGAGAATTTGCAAAAAAAGCATTGTACCTAATTTTTGTTAGCTTGATCCGAGCAGCAATGTTTCATTTTGTACAAAAAAATCAAATTTAATATTCAAGCCAAGCTTTGAAAATTTTTCTTAGATGATTGATTGTTAATCAATTTTGTGATAATAGTGACTTATTGATTTCCTGTTTCTAAAATTTAACATACTTGTTTTTGTTAATTTTTAAGATTTATTGATTACATTAATATTTTTGTTATTAATTATCGTTTTCTTCTATGTTTTTAAAATGTGGCAAACATAAAAACATGAAACAATAATATATTTTGTCTAAAACTGATTCCTTTTTGCAAAATCAATATTGCTCTGTATGTACCTAAATTTGTAAGTTATTTAACTTTTGAACATTTCAAAATTTTTAAACTAATTAGTATATTTTTTTAAAAAATGTTTATATTTTTACGATTTTACTATTTCTTTCTGCCTTCAATAATTTCTTCGATTTATTGTGTTCTTTATGTGTCAAGCTGCAACAAAATTAAAAATCTTAAATCTGCTCCATACATAAAATACTATATTAACTTTTACAGTTAGTGTTGATCTTCATATTCCAAAATTTAATGAGAAATTTAATTACGTTAAAAATTATTAAACAAATTTTAAAATTATTAATTTGTTTGTCTAAACATTTTCGTAAAATTTTGTTAGTCTGAATGCTCTAAAACTTCCAGAAAAATGAGTAATTTTATATTCTTAATATTTAGATTACAAATGCTGTTATTAAACATTTTATTAATTATGATAATGGTTCATGCTGTTAATTTAGGCAAATTTTTCTGTTTCTCTTCTTTTTTTCTTGTATGTTTAAACATGTCTGGTTTAAACAAATTTTTAAAAAATATCAAGCAGTTCCATTTAATTATTTGTGGTTTTTGTTTTCAAAGATTTAGAAGTAATTCAATAAGTAATTTTTTAAATTTTAAAATTGAAAAACTAATTATTCGCAATGGCTTTGGGGTTGAAGCACTGACCTGTCGTTGTGAAGTACGAGGTTTATTGAAGTTCAATGTCCAGGGTCCAGATTAATTAATGAGATTTTTTATCAATTGTTTTCTCTAATTTTTATCACTGTATATTTAAATTCACCAAGTTGAAACAAAGATTAATACTTCGAAATTGAAATTATTTTGAGAAAAAGTATCCATGGTAGTGATTAAAGAATAATATCCAATTAATGTTTTGCATTAGATAAAATTAAAAATAAAGTGTCAGTGTAAAATGCTAAGTTCTTTAATGTAGTTAAGTTCTTGAATATGGCTGCGTCCATATAAATTTTACCAGATACATTTGTGTAACAATAATAAAATTTTAATACAAAAATCAATCGTTTTTAAGTTCTCTAAAATAGGTTACTTCGAAACTATATATCATGTCGTCAAACATGAATACCTTTTAAAACGATTAAAAAGAAAGTCTCAAATATAACTTTATTTGTTCACGTTATAAGCAAAGTATTCTTTGTTTTACAAAATACTTGCAAGTGTGAAACAAATTTTTGGTTACAAAATCTGCTTAAATTTATCAAAAAAATTGTAATCCTTAGAGTCATATAAAATCTTAATATCTTCAACACTATTAAAAAAAATGACCTAATGATGAAATATCCGTAAAATAAATTTCTTGTATTTCGAGTACATACTTCGGCAAATTATCTCTGTAATAGTTATATTATTAAATGATATTGGATAATAAAGAGTATTAAAAACTAAATTCATTAAAATATATTTTAATTAATTATTATTTTTGTTGTTTTCAAAACAATGGCAAATTGATATTTAAACTAAAGCCTCTCCATGTCTCAGGACCTCGAATGGCGAAGTTAAGGTATGGCAAAAAGCCTAAATATTTCAATGGTATGGAGAATATAAAATAAATTACTATTAACTCTTCCTTAGATAACTATTTTATTATTTACATTTTCATTGTTCTTGAAATAAGATTCCATCTTTTCTAATATATATAATTTCTATAATTTCTAATAGCAGGTACTTTCAATTTAGAAACGGTTTTCCTTTTATTATTTTCTTTGAGTGAGATTGTCTTTCATTTTCTGCTATTAAAATATCTTTAAACTTATTTTTAATCCATAAAGTTTGGTTAACCTTCTCGAGAGTATTGCCTAAGGAAAATAAATTTGAATAAACACAAAAAAAATTAATTCTGATTAATCTGAATCATTAGCATATAATGTTCAAGATTTTATTTTTATTTTTGAAAACAAATAAACAAAATTACTTCTGATAATAAACTATATGAAACTATATTCTTTAAAACTTTGTTTTTAAATATTTTAATAATGTCAAGAAATTTGCATTACTCAAAAATCGGGAATTCATATAATAGAATTGTAACTTTTAACTACTAATTTTGTAATTATTAAATGGTTTAAGGCATTACAAACTAAGAGCTGTTTAAATTTAAACAATGTGCAACTAAATTTTGGGGCTTTTAAGTGATGTAACTACAAACAACTCTAACTTTTTGAAGATTTCAAGCCACACAAATTTTATTGCATTATTTTTTAGCATTTACTATAGCAGCAAGTTTTCGGTGGTATAATAGGTTTAAAGATAGACAAATATTACAAAGCAGCTCCTGGTTGCTAGTCAATGTTTGTATTAGCACTCAATTTTGTTGCTTAATAATTATTTTAGAGATAACATGTGATTATATATATGACTAACAATTTAACACTGAATGCATTTTTAAAAAAAATTATACTATAAAAAACTATACTATTAAAAATGCTTGCCTTAAAGCAAAAATTGTACTAGTATGTATGTTTGTTAAAAAAGCAATTTATCAGTTATTACACATTTTTGACAAAACTTTTAACTGTATGGCATAAAATAATTGATGTACTTAAATAAAATTTTGCAAAACGTTCCAATATCAATGAACAGAGCATTCCAAACAAATCAAAAATCAAGCTCTTGTTGTAATAAAGTCTATAAATATAATATAGATGAAGCATAATAGAAAAAAACTTCAATGCAATATCTGAACAACTGAACAAAATAGTATGAAAATTAGAAAAGTGTTTTTATAAAAATACGACATAAACATACAAATAATTGCATTCACTCAAGATTTTCAACCAAAATTGTCTTAATATCACTAACAAAAATTACTTTTAAATACTAATCTGAAGACAAATTGCATTATGCTGTGTTCATTTTTGAATTATAAAGATTGTTTATAGCTTATTATTAGAAGAGAACTTAGGCAATACTGACAGTACAATTTTATTTTCAATCTATTTAAAATGGAAGACAAAAGAGAAAAACATTTTAACTTACATAATGTATCCTTCAGAGTTAATAGGCAGAGACAAGGATATATTAAGGGCTTTTGATGAATTCTCATTCAATATTGCCATATTCTTGCGAATTTCTGCTTCGTTTTTTGGATCATTCACTGCAGCACTTCCCAAGTATGTAATGCGATCAAAAACAGTATATTCCCCATCTGCTAATGTCACGGATATTGACATCAAATCTAAACAAATCAGAATAATTTCAATACATTGTGACAAGATACATATTGATTAAAAAGAACACTCAAATTATGAAGCGTAACTTTTTTTTAGCAAGAACCATAAGCAATGAACATTAGAGACAACTTTAATTAATAACAGTTCCTTGTTTGCAAAAAAACACATCAGTTTCTCATGAGTAATCACAATAACTTTAAAATTAGGAAGAAAATTTCTGCAATAGGAAGTCTGCAGAATTTGTATCATATAATAATTTGCATATGCAAATATTACATCTAGCTAACTTTAAAACAATTTACTTATAATTTTTAAGAAATGCATATTAGTAAAATTAGAAACTTGATGTTGCATCTGATGAAAGTGCAATCTTGCAACATTATGCCTGATTACTATGAAAGAGTATTAAAGATAATCGCCTATGTAAAATGAGTATAATTTGGCAAGTAATGTGAATGCATTCAGGGGTCTGTCTAGGTTCTTCTGAGAGGTCCCTATTTCGTGAAAATTTAGACACAATTTGTGAAAAATTATATTTAAAAATCAACACAAAAATATGGTAAAAATATGGATTTATCGTTTCTTAAGGGATACAAAAATAAAATTGTAAGAAAAAGTATTTTGCTAAAATTGAATTTGTGAAACTACCGTTTTTCCTAAAGTTGAATTTATGAAGGTACCGCTAAACGGTAATAAATTCGGCCTGGGCAGACCCCTGGCATTAGAGCACTTGATGCCATTTAAGTGGTTAAAAGCAGAGTTGGCCGTTGATTACAGTAATCGATTACAACTGTAATTGATTACAGATAATTACAGCTATGTAATNGGGCAGACCCCTGGCATTAGAGCACTTGATGCCATTTAAGTGGTTAAAAGTTACTTTACTAATATAAAGAGTACATAAATTTTCGAACTTAACTAAATATATAAATACATTTTTATGGGAAGGTGCTGGCAGAGTAATGTATATATATTTTTCACTGAAATTTCTTCCTATTTTGTCAAAAAATTAAACATGCAAATAAAAAAATATTTTGAAAATTTATTAAAAGGAATAAGAAATTATTTAGGTTTTATTTAAATATTACTTTAATACCCAATTGAAAAACAAATTCAATTTTGCATGAAGATAAACAGCATGCTTTCTGAAAACTTTAATAAACAGGGTGCGTAGCCAAATTATTCAACAAAATATATGCACCTTTTAAGCACTTTTCAAGCACTCAAAAAATATTTTTAAGCACTTAAAAAAATATCATAATTAGGCAGAGTTGGAAAGTTTTTGACAATTGACAGTTTTATCTTGTTTTAACCGTCATGTCAAAACAAAAAAAATAGTCTTTTAGCATTGTTTTTGACAATTGTCAAAAATCATGAAATTTTGAAAATTTTAGAACGAGTAGCGTTTTCATACGCTATGGACTGACAATACGCCGAAATAAATTAGGGTTGAATTAATTGTGAAAACGTTGAATAGAACAATGTGAACTGTGTCTTTTTGCATAATTAGTAGAGAAAATCAACATGGTGAAGGAAAGATCTCATTTTGAAAAAGGGGAAATGAAGCACTTTTTAAAAACACCCAATGAAAAAAGCACCTTTAAGGGCTTTTAAAAACGAAAATCGAAAATAAGCACCTTTAAGCACTTTTTAAAAATGCTACGCACCCTGATAAAGCAATTTAAAATAAAGTCATTTTGTTGCACTTCAGTTACGTCACACAAGAGCTACATATTTTTGTGACGGTCTGGGAAATATCCCTAAGAATCACAATTTTGATCCTCTGCAGAGGAGATGACTCCCCGCTTTGATAGCTCTGACGATCTGCGCGTGAAGACGAGCACTTTAAGGTAAACAGTTTAACGAGGATCAAAACCATGCATACTTGCAAGTTGATCAAAGTTTACACCCACTTGCTCACTAACCACAGCCAGTAAGGCTTCACTGCAGTGTTCCACTAGGAACCATGTCTTTACCATCAGTAAACAGTATGAGTGTGCAATTTCTCATTTATATGTTAGATATATGAAAAAATTATAAATAAAATAGTACAAATTAACAAATGGTAGAAAATAATGATTATGAAACTTTGTAACTGAAAGCCCATGTAGTCATTCTCATACAGACTGATCATTAAATAATAGATGTTTAAAGTCTTGAAGCTAGAAAAAATTTTCTCTGTAATTTTTTTTAAAATCTAAACTAACCTTAAGCGACATGACAGTTAAAGAAAGACATTTTTAAAGTAAACAACAGTTCCAATATCCTAATGTGATTTGGAAAATTAGGATATACGGGCAATAATCTGCAATTGGTTGAGAGCTAAAATATACTAAAAAAAACATATTCTTGTTTGTCGAGTTAACGAGGAGTGCAAAAAAAACCTGATACTGGCAGAATCTCAAAATTCTAAGTATGTACTTCTTTTTCATCCTTTATAAATTATTATTAACTATTTAAAGTATCAAACTACAGATATGCAATATTAGTGTTTAATGCCCATAGATTTTGAGAGCTTTTAAAAAGTATTGTAATCAGACTTGGAATTTTTAAATAATAGTTCAAAAAATACATCTCCCCCCCCCCCATATAGATTTTCAGCAATTTTTCAAATAGATACACCAAAAATTCATTTAAAAAAAAAATGAATATAAACATCATACCTTCATCCATGGGACTTGGAGAGGTAGTATACATAAGAACATTTTGATCAAAGGGATTCATTCTAGGAAGTCTAGGGTGTTGATGCTCATCAGAGATTATCTCAATGCTGCTACCACTATCAGACTTTTCATTGGGGTGCTCCTCTTTTTCAAGATTCTGCAACAAATTAAAAAGAAAAACTTTTTTTTACATGATCCACACCAAAAATAAAATATTAAGTCTGCAGAGAAAGGGAATTCAAAACAGTCCATTACAAAACTTTAGAACAAATTACAATAGTTGCTTTACAAAAGAAATTTTTATTAAACACTACTGATAATAAGAGTTTGTGAATATGCTTTTTAATGTCGTGAATATGCTAAATTTATTTTATGAGAGCAAAATATACTTTAAACTATTTTCCTTCAAATTCTGAAACCTTTTTAGAAACATTGTCCCCTAATTAGTTTTATGTTATTCTTTTTAAAAAAATTATTACTAAATTATTTTTAAGAAAAAGTTATTTTTCATGAGTTTGTAAACTATTCATGAAATTTTCTGACTTTTTTTTAATATCAGAAAATGCATATAAATTGAACTTTCATTTGAATCATATGTTTTAAGAAATAATTCTATGACTACTATCAAATTTCAATACATCAGTGGTTCCCAACATTATTCAGCCTATCGTTTCTCTCCGGATGATGATTGCCTCCTCCACTAAGCATTGATAATACTGAATTTTGCCGGGTTTTATTTTTTAATTTTCAGGGCTCTGTCTAGGTTTTTATGAGAGGTACCTATTTTGTGAAAATTTAGACATAATTTGTGAAAATTAAAAATATTAAAAAATCAACACAAAAATATGGTAAAGTAAGAAGATATTTTCAAAAATTTTCACTACAAATAAAAATCACTTATGACAGGTAAATTTTTATACATTGTTCCCCTTAGATTCAAAAATGATTTTGCTATTGTAAAATTTAGGGTTTAAAATTATACCTTAAATTAAAAATCTATAAAAATCATTGTCCATTGTTAAACTTCAAGTTGAATTTTTTTTAAAAAAAACAAACAAAAAAACATGCATTTAACAGTACTTGCACTAAAAGTTATTTTCATTATGAGAACATTTCCCACAGGGTCATCTAGAAAAAAGTTTCACAGAGAAAAAAATGTTTCATAAAAAAATAAAGGTCTGTTAGAATAAATTTAGAACATTGTTGGAATGTTTAGAATAATGTTGAAATTTCAATGTCCTGTAAAGTTTACAGAAGGAGCGACTCACCATTTAATTTTTTTAAGAAAAACTCAGCGAAAAAAAAAAAGCTCGCTATATAATACCGGTTAGGCTACCATACCGCACTATCTGACCAAACACGTGCTACCAACCCGGGAATTATAGTTTCTTAGGGAGACACAAAAACAAAATTTTAAGAGGCGGGGAGGAGAATAGTAGAACTTGTTTTTTTAAAAGCATTTTGTGAAACTACCATTTTTCCTAAAGTTGAATTTGTGATGGTACCGCTAAACGGTAGTCAATTTAACCTGGATAGTCCCCTGTTTTTTCAACAACAACAAAAAAACCCAGATATTTAAAGGAAAATTATTAAAACAAGAGTGCATATTAATTTTTTTAAATTGGAATCTGTGAAAATTGAAAACAATTGATAATTGATATTTTAAATACTCTATTAATCTATCATTCATATTGTACATTGACTGCCTTGTGTTTTCAGCTAGAGCATGAATGTTTGTCAGATCAAGCAAATGTTCAACCTATTTCTTAGTTCTGAGAGGATCTGGAAGATAGATCTCTGTTCAACCCAAAATATGATGAGAAAGCTCAGAAACTTTAATTTTGCATTTACTTATTTTATTTTTTTTAACCGGTAATTCTTTGTCTGGACTATAAACAATCGGTTTTGTATACGTATTCAATTTCGATATTGGATCGCAAAAACTTTCTTCGAACACAAAATCAAAGCACATGCAATTAATTAATTTTCGTAACATGTGTCAACCATTTCGTCGTCACCTCTATTTGACGAAATTTGTTTGAAAATTACTGATCTTTTTTTAAAAATTATTTAATTTTTATGAAACTTTATATTGATTCCTAGCACAAGAATGAGTTTGAAAAAAAAGCTAAAATTAGAAATCCAAAAATGCTATGTGCAAAAACACTTTTTAGATAATTAGAAAAATGTTTGAAAAATGAGCAAGAAAAAAGTGTATGTAGGAAGCATTTATCCACAAAATGTTATTAACGTTTTTCTAAAAATATCAATGTGAGAATTTTTTTTATTTATTTAAAATTTGTGAATATGAATATCAATGTGGGATTTTTAAATCACGCGAATACGAATCTCGATGTTTGATTTTAAAATCGCATGAATACAAATTTCAGCATTTGACTTTAAATTTGCGTGAATCCCGTTGTATAATTTCTAAGTCACTTAAACACGAACTTTGGCTTTTTTAAGCGATATATGATAAGAATCGTGAAAATACGAAACACGATGAGTGAATTTGAATCACGTGAATGTGATTTTAAATCGTCTTAGCACAGGTGGGGTGAAGCATGAAAACGAATGATTTTTTATTTCTCGGAAATTTGAAAACGATAAACTTTCTTCAAAAAGGCGGATTTTTTTTTTTAAAAATTAAATCGAAAAAAAGCAGACTACACTCAACTAGCATGCCTATAAGTCAAATGCAGAAAAGTCGCGGGAAAAGTGCGAAACAAAGAAAACAATTCTTATATCAATCTCTGTCACAAGAGTTAAAATAAGGTAGTAATGATTTTTTTTCCCTTTTTTTTTCTTTTTTTTTTGTAAAACTATAATTATAACAGCGATTGTAAGGAATTTTCAGTGAACAGTTTTCATATATTAAGTACAACTGTCGAAAGCTTTCTATTGTTGTTGTTTTCTTTTTTCTTTTGAATATTCATTGTTCCCTGATAGCCCATTAGGAGCAATCGCCCCAACTGTTCAAGATCATAGTTTAACGGAATACTCTTAATTGAGTTGTTTCTAATAGCTTGCACTATCTGAATACCACCAGTACTTTAACATAAAATGGAAATACATTACCAATTCAATATTTAAACAAAAAAAAAACAATAATTTATAAATTAGAAAGATAGTAATCCATGGCATATATAAAAATATTGAAGATTTTCTTATAATAATCTACATACAGGCAGGCAATATTTGTAATAACCAGGGTTCGTCAAAGTGAACCCAATCTAGAAAAATCCAGAAGAATTTTTCAGACAGAGATCACTTGAGAGGGGAAAGAAAAACCGATTTAAACGTAAAAAAAACGTTAAAAAAAACACCTACCAAGTGAGTTTTACCCAATCAATTTTCTTTGAAATTATAAAACCAAATCGGTAGTTGAAATGATCAAACTTCTGTTTTATAATTTCCTTAATTTATGATAACCAGTGTATATTCAAACATGTTTCAGTAATCAGAATTTTGCTAACAAAATTTAATTTAAATGAACTAAATACTCTAGAAAAATAAAGTACATGATTAAAAAAATATATTGCAAAAAAAATTTGGATAAGTATTGTTTAATATATTTTCATTAGGCAAAAGAAAACCATACCAGGTGATTATATATCAATAAATTTTTATATTTACATAGGCTCCCAAAAGTGTTCATTCACTTCAAACTTTTATTGAAATAGGGCAGTATTACTTTATTAAAATGAATATTCCAGAATGAGTATTTAATAATGTATGGAATATTTTAAAAATGAAGCAAAAGTTTATTTTTAAGAAAACGATTATCAATAAGTAATAAAATTTTGACCTTACAAAAGTCAACCTACACTTAAATGTTTTCGGATTTCAGAATTAAAATTATCGTCCATTGCTTTAATATTTACATGCTAAGTTTTCTTTTTAAAAACGGCTCATAGTCGTAATGAAAGAATGAACAACATTTGAAAGTTGAATATTAGTCATATAAGAGGTAAATGCAGCAATAAAGGAAACGAAGGAAATAAAAATATGACCAAACAAAATACAAAAAAAAAGTTGCATTTATTTACAGACTTTTAAAAGCTATTGTATATGCGAAAAGGAACTCGATTAAATGTTAATTTAACGAAAAAATTATAATACTTACTGAAAGGCGGGAATTCTTTTGAAACTGTACGATGACTTTTGTGAAATAAAGTTTTAGTTTCTTTTTGATTATTGATTTCTTTTACTTCTTTTTAACAAAATATATGTTATACAGTTTTGCTAAGAATATTATATTTTTTTATTATTAAATATCCATTCTGAAATATTCGTTTTAATTAATAGAAAGTCTTATTTAATTGAAGATCATAAATGTAAGAACACTTCAGGCAGTCACTGTATTTACCTTTCAATATAAAGTCATTTTATACTGTATTTTATCTAAACAGTGCTCTTTATAAAAGTCATTGTTCATCTTTTATTTGAACCAATATCTCAAGTCAAATGTTTAAATAATGTTGTATTGAATTAGCAATATTATTTTAAGAGATTCAGTGTACAAAAATGAATGTCGCAAATGCAAAATTGTATAATTTCTTATTGCATACTATATAGAAAAAATTCATTTAATTTTATTCTTTTTTTGTTTGTTTGTTTGTTTTTCTCTTATTTGAAATTAAAATATTTAAAGAATTCCAATCTAAACACATTATTTTTTAATTTTAGCATCGTCAATTGTTTTTGTTATTACAACTAGAAGCTTGTACAGGGTAGAACAAAAAAAAAACAAAGTTTCGTTATCCTTCTTCTGAATAAACGATGAATAAAAAAAAAAATATGTTTATACATCATTTAACATGTTTCCTATACATTCCTTAGTCTTTTTCAGCTTTTTAGGGTAAAAGGAGAAACAATTTTGGAAATATCATCTCTGGAATGCAAACAACTTTTACGAACTTTCGATACTGTGATTACTAGAGCCCGGAAGTTCAGGCAAAATGCCATAAATGCCCTTTTCTGCCTTTTTTAAACGTTTTCTTCTGAAAATGCCTTTTTCTTTCCTTTTGTTCATAAANATTCCGGGCTATAGTGATTACTATACAATTCGAATTTTGAATCAAAATTCAAATACTCACCAACAAAACAGCAAAATTAAATGTCAACATATTGTTGGTTCTTAAAAAAACCTTTTTT